ATCAACTGTCAAAGCAGTTCCTAGACCCATCTCAGGTGTCTTCCTTTCATGCCTTCTGAAATAAGATTGGTTCCTTTTATGGAACAATAAAACGTATTCATGATGCTCTGGTTTCATGTATTTTGTCCTTGGAAGGCTCCTGTGTCTCTGTGGCTTTTTATGAGGCACAGGTCTAATGAGTCATTTATTGGGGTGTCATTCATGAAAAGATTAGAGGACTTCTCAGGGCATGCTGGTTCGTTCCCAAGAGAATAAACTTAGGAATAGAGCATGCCTGCCCTTCCTTACCCTTTGGCTTTCTGCTTCCCGCTTGATCACTCCCACATGCTGCCCACCATTGGATGCCTTTCATCACAAAGGCTTCTTTGAGGGCCTGACCTTCCTTCTGTTTTTCCTTTCTTCCTATTTCTCATCCCTCTTGGGGTCTCTATATCCCAGGCTACCCCCAAACTTCTTCTATAGCTCAGGGTAACCTTGAACTTCATATCTTCCCAACCCTACCTCTCAGAGGCTGCTGTTATAGGCACAAGCTACCAGAGCTGGATTTGTTTTGTGATGGAAACTAAATCCAGGGCTTCACTTGTGCTAAAGACAAGTGCTCTGCTAACTGCATCTCAAGGCTGGTAAACCTCTTTATAAGTAACCAGCTTCAGGTATTTTTATAGCAGCAGAAAAAGGACTAATAAACTAAGAACAGGTTTTTTGTTTTTTGTTTTTTGTTTTTTTTAATGTTATTGGGGCTGGAGAGACCACTCAGTGCTTAAGAGGGCTTCAAGAGGACACAGGTTCCATTCTAAGCACCCACATATGCTCATAACCATCTGTAAATCCAATTCCAGAAGATCTGCCTCCCTCTTCTGGTCTCCAGAGCTTCAGGTACACATATCCTGGTGTGGTGGTGCATACTTTCAATCCCTGCACTCAGGAGGCGGAGGCAGATCTCTGAGGCCAGCATGGTCAACAGAACAATTAGTTCCAGGCCAGCCAGTGCCTTACAGGGAAACTGAGTCCTGAAAAACCCAACAAACAAACAAAACCCAAACCAAAACAAAAAGGTGTCAGTGTTTGTTGTAGCACTGAGGAAACTGGTGCAGTTGGATTGAGAGTTGGAGACCAGCCTGAGCTAAGCCGAAAAAAAAACAACCAAAGCGAAGCAAGAGTACTGAAGCCGAGGAGGCATTGGTGTAAGAGCACAGCGAAAAGCCCATCGTGTCCTGGGCTGCCCATCTTGCTGGTGTTGCCACACGGTCAGGTCTAAGCTTCTACAAGCAGAGACAAGCTCAGAGTGCTGACTCCTACAGAACGCCGGCCTCACCGAGCAGGTCCTGGAGGGATCTGCACAGGCACTGAAACGCACAGGTGTTTCCTCACACTCTGGCTATCGCTGGTGTTTGTTTCTTTTTCCAAAGCGGAAGTCACCCCTAGAGGGTTCTGTGCAGCCCCAGAGCTGTTCAATCATTCACTCACTCACAGAACATTTATTACATGTTTCGTACAAGGTTCAAAGCAGCCCTCGGAGGCCAGCTGTGAGTGTGAAGCCTGTTTTGGGGCCTAGAGTTTGCAGGGACAAACTCTAGTTTGTCCTTCCCCACCTCCCTGTTGCTTAAAGAAAACTATACAGGACACCACGTGTAGTTAGTTAATTGGAAGAGCACTGCTTTCCATCCCCAGCACCAGGAGGGGGATGGTGGGGAAAGATTCAGTTTCTTTTTTTTTTTTTGAGACAGGGTTTCTCTGTGTAACCTTGGCTCTCCTGGACTCGCTTTGTAGGCCAGGCTGGGCGTGTGCCACCTCCCCTGGCTTGTTTGATTTTTGTAAAAACTTTTTATCTATTTTTTAATTTATTTTAAATGGTGACAAGAAGCACCTTGAGGTGGGCTTTTTTTTTTTTTAAGTTTATTTTTAAACTTGTTTTTATGCATATGAAGGTTTTGTCTGCACATAAGCAAGCATGTGCACTTGGTACAGCTAGATGAGGGCATCAGATATCCAGAGCTAAAGTTACAGATGGTCGTGAGCCACCATGCTGGGAACTGAACTTGGGTCTTCTGAAAGCACAGCCAGCACTGAGTCATCTCTACAGCCCCTTTATTTTTATCATGTGTCTGTATGTGTGTGTGTGTGTGCCTGAGCAGGCTGAAAAGGGCATGATTCCCTGAAGCTGGGGTTACAGACAGTTGTGAGCCACTGACATGGAAACAGAACTCAGGTCCTTTGCAAGAGCAGTAAGCACTCGTAAGAGCTGAGCCAGGGCTCTCCTCACAGATGGCCGAGATCCACTTTTCTCTTGGCCTCTGAAGTGATTTTAGCAGATATGGAGGCTAAGCTGGTGCCTCCTTGTGTATGTGTGGGGAGCGGGTACTAGGGTGGCAGGTCGGACTGTGGAGGCTTCCACATGAGGAACTGTCTGTCTGCAGAAGAAAACCATCACTTCAGTATGAAAACACATTGTTTTGAGGGAAGCACAGGGGTGGAGAAACAGCAGAACATCCATTTGGAAGGCACTCTTTCTAGACTAGGAGGGAGGGTTCCCCAGTCATGGGCACAGAGTACCTCACTCATAGTGGGCACCCATAAATGTTTATGAGATGAATGAGAAGAAAACTAGCAGTGAGAAAATGATGTGTTCAAGCACAAGTGATGGGTGAAAAAACTCTGTTAGAATATGGGGTAGAGAGCAACCGATTACTCCCTTTGTTCTGAAAAATGCCCAGACCTACCTAAGAGGCCTGTTCCAACACTGAATACTCATTGCTGACCTCAGAGAACTTTTCCCTGTCCTCCAAAGTGCATCCTAGAGTGTGTGATGTGGAATGTAATGTGTGACCTTTACATAGAGGTCATGCATCAAGCCATACAATTCTTTTTCTTTTTCTTTTCAAGACAGGGTTTCCCTGTGTAGTCCTGGCTGTCCCAGACTCACTGGCCTTGAACTCACAGAGATCCACCTGCCTCTGTTTGTGGACCTCGAAGGCATTTCTGAATGCTGGGTTTAAAGGCATCGGCCACCAATGCCCAGCCACAATCCTCTTTTTTTTTTTTTTTTCCTAAATCCAGTCTCAGTTTCTAGAGAAAAACCCCAAAACACATGTCACATCTGTCTGTGGCTTTTTGGGTTTTCACATTTCTTTTGCGTATGTGTGTGCCATGATGCTCCTATGGAGGTCAGAAGACAACTTTCAGGAGCGGGTTCTCTTTGGATCGAACTCAGTTTGTCGACTTGCCAGCTGATGCATTTACCAGCACTTGGGAGGCAGACAATGGCAGATCTCTGAATTTGAGGCCTTCCTGGTCTACAGAGCAAGTTCCAGGATAGCCAGGTCTACACAGAGAAACCCTGTCTCGAAAAAACAAACAAACAAAACAGAATATCACCATGTAGCTCTAGCTAAGTTAGTACTCCCTATGTAAACTAGGCTGACTTCAAACTCACTGAGACCCTCCTGCCTCCACCTCCTGAGTACTTCAATTAGGCTAACACCATCACGCCCAACTGTAATACATTTTTATTTTTTTAACCATTCTCTTTACTCAGAATGCAACTGAAGGTCTTTGCAGAGATGATACAAATATTCTAACCCTGACTATCCCTTTAAAAAAATACATGCTGAGCCTGGTGTCAGATGCCTTTATTCTGTGCTGAGGCAGGTCCAGCCTAGTCTACACAGTGAGTTCCAGGTTGGGGCAGCCAAGTCTACATAGAGAGAGACCCTGTCTCAAAAATATATAAAAATAAAATAAAAAGTATTGTGGCTAATTTAAAGGTATGGTCTAATGATGTTTATTATTAGCCTGATAATTATTATGGTGGTATTATCTAACCTGTTATTATAATCAATAAAAGACACAGACATCTGATAGATTTTTAAAATAGTCTTACCTTACGTGGGGCAAGGCAGATACCTTTACCTCCCAGCCCCATCCCAGGCTGCCTCCTAGCCATAATTCCATAAATAGTTGTTTATTCTCTCATCTGGACCACTTCCTCCATTCGTGCTGGCCATGTCTTTTTTTCTCTCCACCTAACCCAAGGCAGCTCTCCCCTTCCTTCCTCCTCCTCTTCCTGTTTCTCCTGTGATCCTTCTGTCCCCAAAGCCCTCGAACCTTAGCCAAGACTACCTCCTTCTGCCCAGCCCAGGTATAGGCCTTTTAATCAGCCAATTAGGATAATTGGCTGTACTCATCAAGTACAGGCCATAATTCATAACAATGCCCAAGGCAGGGCGATAACCAGATCTCAAGGCCCTGGAATCAGCATCTGAAACATTTCTTTCATCGTTTCTTCTTGTCATTTATTTATGTCTATGTTCTTGTGCCTGTGTGTGTGTGTGTGTGTGTGTGTGTGTGTGTAAGTGACTGCCTCAGAAGCAGATGGAATCTGCAGTTACAGGCAGCTATGAGCCTCCTGAGGATGTGGGTGATAAAAACCAAGCCCGGGTTCTCCTCTGCAAGAGCAGCAAGGACTCTTTCCTTCTGAGCTAGCTCTGTGGACCTCGAAGGCATTTCTTAACATTTTCCCCAGGATTTGAGAGGCAGACGCAGGAGAATCAGAAGTTCAAAGTCATCCTCTGCTACATGACGAGCTGGAGGCCAGCCAGGGCGATTGTGAGACCCTGTGATAAAACAAACAAACGACAAAACAATGTTTACTTTTGTTGAGCCTGTTATCATCAGCACCGAAGGTTAAGCTGGGCTACACAACTTCCAGGCCAGCCAGGGCTACCGAGTGAGCCTTTGTTAACAAAACAACACAACAGCAAAACAAAATTCCTCTGAGTAGGAGAGATGGGCAAAGGCTAGGTGTTGGGGGCTCCTTGCACGTCAGACTTGGAAGGGGGGCAGGTGGGCATGAATAGGGAGCGCTGGCCTGGCGCTCTGACCATCCAAGGGCTGAAGTCCAGAGTCTGGCAGATGGAGAAACGCTTGGGCCCTGGGGCCCTCCCCACCTCTTTGATCCGGGGGTGTCCTTGCCCTTTGAACCCTGCAAATAGGGGCTGGCGCACTGGCCCGGTTGGACTCCTCAATAGACGGCATGCTGCGGCTGCTGACATCCAGGTGTGGCCGGGGCCCAGGGTCCAGGGTGGTCACGTGGCGTCCCTCTGTGGGGCTCTTCTGTCCTGGGCGCCCCGGGATCCGGCAGGGCTCAGATGCCTCAGACGCCCCGAGTCAGCCGATTCCCAGCTCTGAGTCACTGCTGCAGCCGGTGGGCGTCTGCTCCATGATGCGCCTGCCCCTGCAGTCCTCCGCCGAGGGGCTGGACGCTGCCTTCATCGGTGTGCCTCTGGACACTGGGACTTCCAACCGGCCCGGGGCGAGGTAAGGCCGAAGCACCTGGGCTGGGGACACGTGGCTGAGCTTAGCAACCGGAAGTGAAGCGAGCACATGGGCTTGCACCTTTTTCTCCAGGACATTTTGGGGTCAGGAAGGTCCTCGGAGAAACTGATTTCCCTCCTCCCACAACAGGCAATGCCAAGGGCTTAACACAGGAGGCCAGTGTGGATATCTCAGGGTCGTCAGTGCTCAAGAACGGGTTCAGTTTACTCCTGTAACCTCAGAAAGCCAAGGCAGCTCAGAAAAGTCCGCTGCTTGAGCAAGCCAGGAGTTTCCAGAAACCCCAGCTTTGCTGGGATGGTAGTGTTATACCCAGTTCGAGAGCCCCCGAAAGATCTACAGGAATCGACTCCGTTGCAAAACACATGAGGGTCTTTTTATTGTAAATTACAAGCTGCAGCTTGGGCCTACAAAGCCCCACCACCGAAGCGGTGGGAGCTGAGCGCGCGTCCCCAGGTTAGTTGGGTGATTTATAGATTCTGGTCCCTCCCAGCATACCCAAGGCAGGGCAATTCCTGCCTGGCAAGCATCTATTGGTCAAGATGCTACATTTTGAATCGATTGGCTATAGGAAGGTTCCCAGACCATTGACCATGACCAGGTGTCCCTCCCTAGGGGGAGGGTCCAGTTTCCTAGCAACCGTATCTCTAGTGGGTGGGGAAAGAATACAGTGAGGTAGCTCTCCCCTCAGGGCATTATTAACTTTGTTACCGCACCTACTCTAGGTTTTAACGACTTTATCCTTTGGTCTCTCAGTATGTGTGCACACACTCCAAGTCCCATCCCAGGGACCACTGGTTTGAGAGCAGAGGTTGGTTGTCTCTCTCCCAAATCTCTAGCTATCAAAGTCAAAGAGACATAGGATCTCTTTTCTTAATTAGAAAGCACCAGGAGTTTCTGCTTTGGCTCATTACATCTGACTGTATTGGTCTGAATTTTAAAAGCTGTCATTTATTAAATGTCAGTGAACCCAGGACATTTTGCAAACATGACCTCATTTAATTCTGCAACCATACCGTGAAATAAATAACGGCATCATTATTTTAAAGAGCAGGAAACAGAAACTCAAGTTGGTTTTTGTTGTTGTTGTTTTGTCTTTCTGAGACAGAGTTTCTCTGTGTAGCCTTGGCTGTCCTGGATTCACTTGGTAGACCAGGCTGGCCTTGAACTTACAGAGATCCACCTGCTTCTGCCTCCCTGCGTGCTGGGATCACAGGTGTGCGCCACCGTGCCTGGCCTTTCATGTGTTTATTTTATGTGTGCACATGTTTTTGCCGGTATGTATGTGCGTGCCCCACATCTCTGCCTGGTGCTGAGAAGTCAGAAGGGACAGGGTTATACCTGTTGGATCCCCTGAGAACTGGAGCAACTGTGAGCTGCCCAGCGGGTGCTGGAAATCCAGGCAGTGCCCCTAAGAGACAAGGAGCCATCTCTCCAACTCCTTTAAAAAATGTTTGATTCATATGTGTGCCCGTGCGCTTGCACGTGGGTGGAGGCTGGAGGACAGCCCACTGAGCCATCTTGTAGATCACTGTCCACCATGTTTGAGATGGGCTCTCTCTCTGGCCTTGAATTCACAGAGTAGGCTACCATGGTGGCAACAGAGCCCTTACTGACCCTCTGGTCATGGGATTCCAAATGGGGGCCTCCACACCTGACAGTTGTCTGTGGGTTCTAGGAATCGAACCTGGATCCTTCCCCTCACTCGGCAAGGGCTTAAACTGATGGAGCTATCCTTGTACTAATAGAAAAAAAAAAATCACTGTCAGAGACTGTTACAGGAGTAGAAAACTAATGAACTGAGTGTGATCAGAAATACGGTCAGCCTGCCCTGGTCCTGCATGCTGGTAATCCCAGCACTCAGGAGGCTGTGGCAGGAGGATTGAGCTTTTGGGGTAATCTTGGGCTACGCAGTGAGTTTGGGCCAGCTTGGGCAACATGGCAAGACCCGGTCATACAGACAATGAAAAAACAAAACAAAACAAAACCCAACTTAAAAAAAAAAAAAAAAAAAAAAAAAAAAAAAAAGACTCAGATATGCATAAATGCATGGTTCTTGGTGGGGTCTGTTTTATGCTCAGGGGCGCTATCTGGTAACATCTAGACATACTTTTGCAGGTTGGGGGAAGAGGTGCTCCTGACTGCTAGTGGGTCCATCCAGACTGAAAAGGCAATCCCACCAAGAGTTGAGAGAGAAGCAGCATTAGGCACAGAGAGCCTTGTGAGCTCTGCAGTAGCTGACTCTTCTGATTCTGATTCTTCTCCAGATTTGGACCCCGTCGCATCCGGGAGGAATCGGTGGTGCTGGGGGCTGTCAATCCCAGCACGGGAGCCCTCCCCTTCCAGTCCCTCAGGGTTGCAGACCTAGGCAACGTGAACGTCAATCTTTACAACCTCCGGGACAGCTGCCGGCTAATTCGAGAGGCCTATCAGAATATCGTAGCAACTGGCTGCATTCCTCTGACCTTGGGTAATGGCTGCCGGCAAGGGCAAGTGTAGCCTTTGCATGGTGCTTGGGGGAGGGTGGTTATTCAATATAGGCCCATGAGCCGCTGTTTCTCCAGGGGAAGCTACTGTGGAGATGGACACAGAAGGAAAGTGAACTACAAATTCACTTGTTTTAATCCCAGGGAGAGGATATTTGATATTTTGGTTGGCTTGGCATGGACTCTACATAGTAATGTTATGCCCAAGTCTCATGGACCCCAAAGACCACCAAGGAGCTGATTCCGATGCAAACACAATAGGGTCTTTTTATTACAAGCTGGAGCTGGAGGGCCCACACCATCACTGACAGTGGTTCTGGAGTGTAGAGCCCTGAGCTGGAGAGGAGGGTTTTTATTGGGTTACAGGGAGGATTGGGAAATTACATTTTATCAATTACACAATTGGGTGACATTTAGCAAGGGCAAGGTTGTTACAAAGTGATTGTGGCTCACTAACATTGAGCAATCTATCTATAGACCTCAGGAATGTTAGGTATTTCTGTGCTTTGAAGTTCTAACTAGAGGTCAGTGGGCTGCCCAGCACAGATGCCCCACTCTGAGATAAGATGCCTTCCCATTCTTGTGGTTACTTCCAGGCTATTCCTTGGGTAGGGAATCTTCTTCCTGGAATTGGTGACTTTTGGGGTGGGGGATCAGGCCTGGTTCTCTCAGTAAGACCCTGTCTCAGGACAACAAAACAAAACAACAACAATAACAACAAACAGGACTGGTTACTTAGGGCAAGGCCAGTGAGTCATTTGTCTTGGGGCAGAAAAACAACCAACATTAGTCAAGATTAATAAACCAGGATGAGTAACCTCGTCCCTGCTTTTGCTTCAAGCCCCAGTTTGACTCAGAGAATCGGTGTTACTAGTTCTGTTGTTCATCCAAGAATTTCTTTTTACATTTATTTCCCCCCCCCACAAATTACTGTTTTACAATAGTATTGATCTTAGTTAAGCAAGTTGTAGATTTTTTTTTCTTCTTTCAAATGTTGTCTCTCTTCATGTATGTCACCCACCTCCCTCACCGTCCTCCCAGCCCTCAATCTCAGACCTGGAGAAGGCTATCCACAGAGGCTCAGTTGTAGCTTCTCATCTTTACAAACACAAAATGTTTTTAGTAACTGTGAGAATTGCAGGAGAGTCTTTGGTTTGTTCCTTACTTTTTTTCTTACATTTATTTATTTAGTGTGTCCATGCACACACCGTGTGTCACAGTACACATACAGAGGTCAGAGTATAAATTTTTGGAGTTGTCTCCTTCCACCTCGTAGGTCCTGCAGCTCAAACACAGGTCACCAGGCTTGGCAGCAAGCGCCTTTGCCTGCTGAGCCATCTTGTACGCCCTCCAAAGGGCATATTGGACTGCTCAGGATTGGCATCAATCTACAGAGCTGTGGTCTCCTCTTCCTCTCTACTTCTTTGGTTCACAAATGAAAACAATGTGAATGGGACTTTTTTTTTCTAAATGTTTTTTTCGAGACAAGATTTCTCTGTGTAGCCTTGCCTGTCCTGGACTTGCTTTGTAGATCAGGCTGGCCTGGAACTCACAGAGATCCCCTGCCTCTGCCTCCCTGAGTGCTGGGATTATAGTCTTGCACTATTGCCATTGCTCCTGGCTAGACTTTTATTATTATTATTATTAATTTTTGTTGTCAATTTGGATAGCCTAGTTACCGGATGTGGCAGCCCTGGGGAGGGAGGCTTCAGTTTTTGACATCTCAACCCAGCTCTCACGAGCTGCCTCAGGGTCCATGTTGCTAGGTGCCTGTCTTCATCTGTCAACAGGTAGAGTGACAACGCCTATCTCACTGCATTGTGGGCAGGGTGTGTACTTTTACTGTTGCTTCAATAAAACTTAGCTATTGTTACTATCAATAACTATCAATACCCACTTTTGCCCTGAGCCTGTCCTGCTCAATTGGGTAACCTGCAATCTTACTTATTCCTGAGACTAAGGCAGGGAGACCACAAGTTCAAAGCCAGTCTGGACTTTAGAATGGGTTCAAGGCTAGCCTGGGCAACTTAGTTGAGGCCCTGTCACAGATTTTAAAAAGTGAGAAAGAGAGGGAGGGAGGAAGAGAGAGAATGTGTGTGTTCCACCAAACAACGCCATACCACACCTAGATATGTGCAAGCAACACTAAATGTATAGACTGATGACGTGACGGCTCTGTGGTATGGTTAAGGGGAAGGTGAGAGGAAACATCCAGAGACATCTGGAAGAGTCCAGACTGAACGTGACCTGCAGAAAGAGGGGGAAACAGCGAGTGAAAGCGGGAGACCAGGAGAGGAAGACAAAGAGAGTGGGCAAAAGAGGAGTACAGCCAAAGAAATCGCAGGCTTGTAAGGAGAGTAGTAGCTGCAGGGAGGAAAGCGATATGCCGGAAAGGTTTAGGGGAGGGGAGGATGGGAGGAGGTGATCTGGGACGTTAGCGCGGACTCTGAAATGTGTAACAGGTACCTGTGGTACTGAGGGGGCTGGAGGCCAGCAAGTGCTTTGGTGTGATAACAGCACCACCGAGGGCTGTTCTTCCTCCTGCCAGCGAGAAGGGAAGTGGCTCCTCTTGGTAGCAGGGAACCAGGCTTCACAAGTTCCTGAAGAATGTTGGCTTTTGTCTAACTGCCAGAATTTGGGGAAATGGAGTTTCCTTTGGATTTGATATTAAACTTGGTGAGATAAAAAAAATAAAAAAGGAAAAAAAAAGACACGAAACTAGGAGAAGGGTGTGTTGGAAAGGCGAGTTGCAGACAGTGTGGGAGGGTCTAGAGAAGGGAGTGAGAGGTAAATATGATCCACACACTCTGTACAAGGCTGAAGAGATAGTTCTGTGGTTAAGAGGACTTGAGTTCAGTTCTCAGTACACACATCAGCCAGTCCTCAAAATTACATTTTTTTATTTATTTACCTTTATTTTATGTTCATTGCTGTTTTGCCTCTGAGGGTGTCAGCTCTTGGAGTTACAGACAGTTGCGAATTGCCGTGTGGGTGCAGGGATTTGAACTCAGGTCCTCTGGAAGAGCAGTCAGTGCCCTTCACCACTGAGCCATCTCTCCAGCCCCCTCAAAATTATTTCTTTTCTTTCTTTTCTTTTTTTTTTTGGGGGGTGGTGGGGTTTCGAGACAGGGTTTCTCTGTGTAGCCTTGGCCATCCTAGACTCGATTTGTAGACAAGGCTGGCCTCAGACTCCCAGACATATGCCTGCCTCTGCCTCCCGAGTGCTGGGATTACAGGCGTGCACCGCCATGCCTAGCTCAAAATTATTTCTTAAAAAAGATGAGCTTAAGCCAGCATGGTGGCACACATCTTTATTCATATCACTTGGAAGACTGAGGTGGGTGGACCTACCTCAGGGGCCCATGTGGTCTAGTCTGTTTCGGGACAGCCAAGGCTGTGCAGAGAAACAGACAAACAAACGACGAGATTAGAGTGATGGTGAACTTGCCTGGCACATGTGGACCCAGGTTCAATCCCCAGTAAGTCAGTAAGATCCAACACCCCCTTCTGACCTCTGAGGGCAAGAGGCACAAAAGAGGGACAGAGACAGACATGCAGGCACAGCACTCAGACACATGAAAACAAAAATGAATCTTTATAAAAAGTTAAGCTTTTTGAGCCACAGAGACGACTCCATGTGTAACAGTGCAAGCTGTGCAAGCCTGATGGCCTGGATTTGATCCCTGGAACCTGCTGTAGCAGGGAACTGACTGGCCACACACAGGCCATCAACCACACGCATCGTATGCTCACACAAACAAAAACTGAAACAAATGGAACTGGAATGCAGGCTCCTCAGCGACGGTATCAGGCGATGCAGGTTTAGGCCGTTCACAGCCTCTCAGGAGGATGTGTAGGATAGGGCTGTTTTGTAGAACAACTCCTGAGCCTCCATTCATGTAATTTCCCCCTCTGTGTCCAAGTGTGGGTATGTGCATCTGACCAGTGCCAGGTTCCCGGGAAGGCCAGAGGTGTTGGTTCACCTGGCGTTGGAGTTCTACCATGGTCTGTGAGCAGTCTGACATGAGCGTGCAGTTCCAGAGAGTACCGGAAAGGTTGGCAGCGTTGGAGAACTTCAGAATTGTTGCACGCGACGGTCTTGCTCATGTTTGTTGACGCGTGTGCCCTTTCCTCTCTGCAGGCGGAGACCACACAATCACATATCCCATACTGCAAGCAGTGGCAAAGGAGTAAGTCTCAGAGCTGCAGCATTCTGGAGCTAAGGCCCAGTGTGACGTCGAGTGACCACTGTGGGCTCGGGTTACAGAGGGGTTATTGGAAATTCCCCACTGAGTGGTTTCTATGGCTCAGAACTAAGGCTGGGCGCCAGGTGGTCCTGTCAGTCATCAGTCTGGCGCCCTTTCCCTTGGCCTAGACCCGCTGTGCTGTACACACTCTGCGTTTCCAGTTGGCCTCTGAGTTAGGACACGAGTCCCTAGTGACACTTGCAACCTAAGTACCTTCTGTTTGCTTTTCTTTGCAAGTCAAATACAAACATTGACGGGGAGGCTCCTCCTCCCTTCCGCCATAGACTCCATCCTTGCCCGGACAACAAAAACTAGATTTTTCAGTAGGTGCAAGTCTACACGGATTGATCAGCTTTGCCCAGTTTAGTTAGAGGAAGGGAGAGGGTGGAAGTGGTAGATGAGAGTTTCAATTTTGGGGAGACTTTCAATGACTGGGGGTGGGTGGGGTCCATCCTGTCTCAAGCTGCTGCGCTAGCCTCCCACTCCTGGGGACTGTCCGGCAGGGTTGACCGAGAGAGGGGCAGGCTCAGAACATCCTGTTGCTGCCTTAGCTGGTGCCTCTGAGCGGTTCAGCCTTTCCTGAGTTCTGTCCTGTGGTGTCGTCCCTCTCTCGGACATCCTGGGTGGCAGGCCAGACATGTCTGCTTCTGCCTGGTCTCCTCCTAAGTGCCGAGCGAGCTGAACCCAGAGAACAGATGCAAGGCAGGCAGCTGATGCCGGGACCCTTGACCTCTGAGCTGCGGTTTGGTCTTCAGGTATGGCCCCGTGGGTCTAGTCCACGTGGGTGCCCACACCAACACAACTGACAGAGCTCTGGAGGAGAAGGTCTACCATCGCACACCTTTCCGCCGGAGTGTGGAGGAGGGACTGCTGGACTGTAAGCGAGTCTCGCAGATCGGCATCCGGGGCTCTGCCAGGACCTTGGATCCCTACAGATACAGTCGGAGCCAGGTGACAGGCCGGGTGCCCGTCTCACTCCCCTAAAGTGTCGTCTCCATTGTGAGAGGGACTCAGAAGTTCCGGAAGTGGAGCTGGGTTAGATGTGGCAGCCCCGGTCTGTAATCCCAGTCTTCAAGAATCCAATATCACTCTCGGCTTCATATTGACTTCCTGGCAAGCCTGGGCTACATGAGACCTTGTTTGGGGACAAAACCAAAAATGGGCTGGCATGATGGTTCATGGAGTAAAGGGGCTTGCCACTATGTTTGATGACCTGGGTTCGATCCCCATCACCCAGACAACTCTGGAAGTTTGTCCTCTGACCGCCACACAGGAACCATGACTTGTGCAGGCCTGTGCTGCATGCTCTCTCTCTCTCTCTCTTCCTCTCCCTCTGTCTCTGTCTCTCTGATACACACACACACACACACACACACACACACACACACACACACACACTCTGTATCTTATTCTGTAGCCCAGGCTTGCATGAAACTCGTTTTGATCCTCTGCCTTAGCTTCCTGAGTTGTTGGAATTACAGGAGTGAGGCACTGTGCCTGGGAGACATGAACAAGGCAGAAGCATGCTATTGTCATGCAGCAGAATGAAGCAGTAAGCAAGCCCTGGGGGGCCACTAGTTTAGAAGATGCTGGGCGTGAACCTGAGTGTAGGCCCTTCCTAGTGTTGACTGTAGCACCCAGCAGACGGAAGGCTCTGATCTGAACATGGCGTAAGGCTTCCACACGAACACCCAGACCCTTTCTGTTTTTGGAACAGGGTCTCATGAGGTAGCCCCGACTGTCCTCCAACTCTCGATGTAGACCAGGTTGACCTCAAACTGGCAGAGTTCCACTTGCCTCTGCCTCCGAGTGATGCCACCACATCTGGTCCTTAATTTTGCTTTGTTTTAAATGACATTCATTTATTTCCTGTGTGTGAGTGCCACAGCGTGAGTGCAGAGGTCTAGAAGCTTAAGTGACAAGTTCCTCATACTTGGTTTTAGCTAAGCTCCTTTCTGATCTCAACACTCAGGTCAGCTTTGACCTTGCTTCATAAGTTCATCAGTAGCTCAGGGAAGGGGCTCCCCTTGTGGAAGCTGAGATCAGATGTGATATGCACATGTGAAGGTAAGCGTGGAGTCAGCGATGATCTCCAGCTCCTTGCCTTTCCCATGCTCAGGGCTTCCGTGTGGTCCTGGCCGAAGACTGTTGGATGAAGTCACTGGTGCCCCTGATGGCAGAGATCAGGCAGCAGATGGGAGGCAAGCCTCTTTATATCAGCTTTGGCATAGATGCCTTGGATCCTGCCTATGCCCCGGGAACAGGGACACCAGAAATCGCTGGGCTTACCCCTAGTCAGGTAAGTGGGCTTAGCTGTGGATTCCTGGAGTGCGTATTTTTTTACTTATGTGTCTCCCACCCCGTCCCTCTGTGTGTATGTGTGAGTCTCTGTGTGTGTGTGAGGGGGGCACATCTGTGTGTATAAGTTCCCAGATCTCTCTAGAGCTGGATTTAAGGTGTTTGGAAGTCACCTAATGTGGGTGCTGGGAACCCACGTTAGGGCTCTTTGTAAAAGTGACAAGTGCTCTTAACCACTGAGCCATCTTCACAGTCCTGAAGGCTGTATTCTTTTTTTTGTTAAACGTATTTATTTAATGTAGATGAGGGCTCTATCTGCATGTACACCTGCATTCCAGAAAAGGGCATCAGATCACATTATAGATAGTTGTGAGCCACCATGTGGTTGCTAGGAATTGAACTCAGGACCCCTAGCAGAGTAGCCAGTGATCTTCACTGCTAAGCAATCTCTCTAGTTCCCTCTTTTTTTTTTTTTTTTTTTCCCCAAGACAGGGTTTCTTGGTGTAGGTCTGGCTGTCCTGGAACTCACTCTGTAGACCAGGATGACCTCCATCTTACAGTGGTGCTCCTGCCTCTGCCTCCCAAGGTGCTGGTTTTAAAGGCATGCCTGGCTTGGAGGGTGTATTCTCAACGCTCCAGTTTCCTGAGCTCTGTAGAGTTCAGGCTTGGGATAGTGTTTCTGGACAGGGTCTCACCGTGTAGTTCAGGCTTGCTTTGAGTTACATAACCCACGGTGGCCTCTACCTTGTCTTCAGAGTGCTGCGACTATGCACTTTCACCACCAGGGTAGGACTTTAAAGACACAGCACCTGGATGTCTCCAACCTTGAGGCCTGAGGGCCGAATGTCACATTTGGTTAAGGACAGCTGTGGGTACTACCCAACACAAAATTGTAAACTTCATTAAAACATTAAGAGATTAAAACAAACAAACAACTGGATTGTGTGGTTCAGGAGCATGAAATTCATAGACCACAATGTTATTTCACAATGTCATGAGATTGGGCAGGCCTGAATATGTCCTCAGGGCTGATTGTAGTTCTGGGGACTGAGTGGAGAGGCACTCTTTGAGCAAAGGTAGGCATTAAACCCAGGCCTCATAAATGCTAAAGTGTTCTACTTCAGAACTATGGCACCATCCTGAGGGTTCTAAGAGACCTCTTCCTCCTCCTTCTCCTCCTTCTTCCTTTCTTCTTCATCCTTCCTTTTTATTTTTATTTTTCCTCCACCCCTTCTTCCTCTTTTTGGTTTTTCAAGACAGAGTCTCTCTGGGTAGCCCTGGCTGTCCTGGAACTTGCTCTGTAGATCAGAATGGCCTTAAACTCAGAAATCTGCCTGCCTCTATCTTCCCAATGCTGGAATTAAAAGTGTGCAGCACCACCACCTGGCCGTTTATTATTCTTTCTGCCTCTAGTTCATGTGCGGTCAACTCATGGGGATCATTTTGTAGTGTCCCTGTTTAGGAACGCTGAGCTTTGGCTGAGGGGGTAACTCAGTGGTAGCACAAGTTTAGTATGAACAAAGTCCTAAGGGGCATTCCTGGCTCCAAAACGAAACACAGCACACCCAGCTGCTGGTGGGTAAATCTGTAAAGTACACACATGGAGACTACCTACCCAGGTGACAGCAGCATTTCGTAGTCACACCTGATAAGCTGTACTGAGATCTACAAGCCTTTTTCAAAATTCCACGACCGTATCCTTGGAGCCAGGGTAGCCAGGGTAGGACGGCAGGTCATCCACCATGTAGGTAAAGGAGGGTGCTCATACCTGTATCTCTCACAGACATTCTCTGTCCTATCAGAAGCATTTCTGGAGCAATCCTAAGCCCCATGCTTTTCGTGTACAGGATGGAAACTTCTTTGGACCAGGCAACTGCCTCTGTACCTGTTGCCCCGCCCCACCCCTGGGGCCATATCCATGTACTTGTGCTTACCTTGTCTCCATCCCTTAGCCTGTGTCTTTGCCTAGAATGCTTTTAGGGTCATCTCTTTCACCAGGCCCTTGAACTGTCTGTACCCTATGCTGTTTCTTAAAGATTGCTGTCTCGAGGCTCTTGACACATGACATTGCCTGGCTTGCGTGACCCCACATCACACTCTGAGAGGGACTGTGTGTTGTGAGTTGTCCCTGGGAGGCCCACCAGTGTGGCTATAGCCAGCACATGTCTAGGTCAAGGATGGGTACCTGTGCCTCTGTTGGTTGCTTTTCATTGGAAATGGCTGTCACTTTCCTTCTGACAGGCTCTGGAGATCATCCGGGGCTGTCAAGGCCTGAATGTGGTGGGCTGTGACCTTGTGGAGGTTTCCCCGCCATATGACCTCTCCGGTGAGTAACAAGAATGATCTACAGGCAGCTGCCGGTTTACATCAGATTCACCTCTCTCCAGGCTCATCTTGGGGATCACGTGGAGAATGTCCAGCAGTGAAGAAGCCTGTTACCACAGACCTGACAAGCAGGAGCTAATGACCCTGAACAAAGCCCCTGGGAGGTGCCAGGTGTTACTAGTGAAAAGAGAAAGCCAGCAGCCTGCTGTTTAGTGACAGAGTGGCTCCCCGTTTGATATTTCATTGAAAAGTGAATTTGCAAAACATGTCTTATGTGAAGTGGGACATTGCTACAGCTGATACGTGGGCAAAGCACATTGCCACCCTGTAATTTTAATTGTGGAATAATAATAATAATAATAATAATAATAATAATAATAATAATAACAATAATGATAATAAACCTTCCAGTTAGGTCTGTTGGCCTGAGGGTGGGCCATGAGCAGCACCTGCCATCAGCAAAGGTGGTCCCTCAGAATTCTCATTCTGTCTCAGAATGATGCCTGGTTGCAGCTAAAGCTGGGTTCATAGGCAGATGGCACCCAGAGTTTAGAAGTCCGGACTCTGGGAAGGCCAGAAGGCTACAGTTCATGGAGAGTGGGAGGCATGTACCATCTTCATAGCATTTCTCTTCCTCCTTCCTAGGCAACACAGCCCTCCTAGCAGCTAACCTGCTGTTTGAGATGCTGTGTGCTCTCCCCAAAGTCACAACTGCCTGAATCTGTGTTCTTGAGGACAAAACAGACAGTGTCATGAGGAAGCCTCAAGGACTTGTGAGCAAGCAATGCAAGGACCAAAGAAAGCTTTCTGAGAAATGTCACTTCTGGCTGCAAGTAAGGACAACTCAGAATGTTACCCAAACAGCTCCTGCCTCTTTCCTAACATTAAAACATTTATTTAATTTGGTGTGCCTGAGTGCGTATATGTGTACCACATGTGTGGTGTTCAGAAGAGGGTGCAGGAGCCCCTGGAAACAGAGTTACAGACAGCTGTGAGCCACCAGCAGGTACTGGGAACCAAACCTGAGTCCTCTGGAATAGAAGTGCTCTTAACTGATGAGCCATCACCCTCCTGCAATTTCTTTTTCTTTGAGACATGGTTTCTCTGTATACCCTTGGCTGTCCTGGAATTTGTAGACCAGGCTGGCCTTGAACTCAGAGATGCATCTGTTTTTGTCTCCTGAGTGCTGGGATTAAAGGCCTATATTACCCCACCAAGGTTCACATCTATCTCTAAGGAGAGATATTGACCTGAGAAATTCAACAGCCTCTGGTCTGATGGTGCACCCTGGCACACATCTGTAGTCCTCACACTTAGGAGGCTGAAGCAGGAGGATTACTATAAGTTTGAGGCTAACTAGTGTTACATAGCAAGGATACAAGGCTGTCTCAAAATCAAAGCCTGTCCCCCAGCCCATCTATATTGCTTTAATTTTGTTTCCTTTGATGGAAAAACGTGGCGGATGCAGGGGAAGGAGATGACAGGGTTGCCCAGCAGGAGACGAAGTGAAAAAGGCCTGTGAACTGACACTGTACAAGCATTCCATCTCTACAGCATCTGGCTCAGAGCATACCTCCCCAGAGGAGAGCAGGGCAGCATCTGGTTTTAGGCTGTCCCGAATACACGAGAGGGAAGCAAGCAGCATGCGGAACCTAGTAAAGACATTTGCAGTGAAGCCTGGGAGCTCAGTGGGGTGGATTCCACCTGCTACCCGAGCACTTGAGAAGCCGAGACAAGGGGAATTCATGGGAGTCTGAGGCTAACCTGGTCTAACAGTTAGACCACATCACTGCCTTTCACTTTAAACGCTAGGGTTGAAGATTAAACCAGGTGATGTCAGTTGTGCCAAGAGAACCTCTCAATCCTCTCTGCACAACTCACGTTTTGCAGTATCTGCCCTTTAGGCTGACACCCCCCAATGGCTCTGTCCCCCAAGCCTGCCATGAGTGTAGACTGACATCCCCAATGGCTTTTGTGCTGATACCCCTCAATGGCCTCTATCCCCCAAGCCTGCTGTGACTACTGGCTGACACCCTCAATGGCCTCTGCCCCAAAGCCTGCTGTGACTGTAGGCTGACACCCTCCAGTGGCCTCCACCCCCCAAGCCCGCCATGACTGAAAGCATGACATAAAATTCTAACAGTGTCCATGGGGAAGTCATCTTGCAAGACCAAAGGTGCCCCAGAGCCATCACACATTAAAATAGTTTATTTGTTTCCAGTCCGTAATATTTTTAAAACAAAACAACATTAATTTTAGTGCCTGTTCACAATACAAAAATAAAACAAAAAAACCCCAAACCAAATAAAACTGAAAAGTAAAAACATAAAACATAAAAGACACAATTTGTCAAATAAGTTACTTGTTCTTAATAGTATCAAAAGTGCAAAATATTCACCTTCCTCTCAGATCTGTCTTCCAGGGGCAGCCATGTTCTCTAACACGCAACAGGCAGATTCAGGACAGCTATGCTGCCTTTGTTTTCCAGGGTGAGGCCAGAATCGTGGCCATGACCTTATTTCATCTGCATCCTCTACTTCAACTATTTACTTGCTTATTTTGTGGTGCTCGGGTCGAAGAACACAGGGCCTCACGTGTGCTACACAAGCAGGACACCCCAGCCTGGTATCACTTGTTTTTTTGTTTGTATGTTTGTTTTTGAGACCAGGTCTCACAGCCCAAGCTGGCTTCACCTGCTCATGCTAAGGATGACCTTGAACTCCTGATCCTACTGCTTCTGCTTCCTGAGTGCTGGGATTACAGGCAGGAGCCACCGAATCTGGCCCCTTGCAACAACATTTGACGAATTCTACCTAATTTGGCCCCCCACCCCCGCCATCACTGGGGGTCAACCCAAGGGCTTCGCACATGCTAGGCAAATGCTTTACCACTGAACTACAGCCCCAGAAGGAGTTCTGCTTTGAAACAAAACAAAACCAGAGACAGAGGCTGAGTGCTTGCTTCCAGTCCCTAGCCCAGGCAAAGCAGATGGGTCAAATATATATATATATATTTTAAACACAGGAAAACACACATTGATGGTGGCTGCAAATGAATTACATAAAAGGCTGTGAATGAGGAGACTAACCCACCTGAAAACAAGCAAATTGTTTTGGGTGCTGGCAGGTGACAGGGAGAGCAGCTTCCTGCAATGTCTCTGGCAGCACACCGCCTCTGCAGTTGGTCCTGAGTGGCAGGAAGAGAGCACCCCAGACAGAGTACTTTCACCTCAGCTCCTGAAAATGACTCAGAGGCTGCCTTGGGCAGACACCAACTCCTCTCCTCACAGGGCAGTATCTGAACTGAAATTGGGTTCATTAGGATGGGAAACCTTGGCATCTGGCTGAGCACAGAAATAGCTCATATTTGACACAGAAAATAAACAATTCATGGAAACAACATTCAGGAAGAAAGGTTTGTGACTATCAAAGGTAGACGTGGGGTACACCCCTGTAATCCTAGTACTGGGAGGCTGAGGCAGGAGGACCTTCAGCTGGAGGCCATCCTGGGCTAGGCTACACAGTGAGACCCTGTCTCAAAGCAAGTAAGCAAGGAGGCCAAAGTTCCCTGGTGTCCTTGGTGGATATCCGCCTTCATCCCCATCAGTAAATTTATTTACTTATTATGTATACAGTGTTCTGTCTGCATGTGTGCCTGCACGTCAAAAGAGGGCACCAGATCTCACTATAGATGGTTGTGAGCCACCATGTGGTTGCTGGGAATTGAACTCAGGACCTTTGGAAGAGCAGCTGGTGCTCTTAACCTCTGAGCCATCTCTCCAGCCCCCCTCCGCCACTTCTAATGAAGGGCCTTTGATCATCTTGGTACAGTTTTGAGAAAAGAACAAACATCTGGGGAGTTTTTGGTTTTCAGAAATTACATGTCAAGGAATTTTATGAGTTCCAGATACGTAAAGACAAAAATCTATCAGTGAGTTAAAACATACTCATAAGAGGAGCCCGGCCATAAAAATATAAGGAAAAAATACATGTGTGTGTATGATAATGGGGATGGAACTCAGGCTTCACACATGCTGGGCAAGTGTTCTACCCCAGCTCACCCTCAGCTCCAGAAATGCATGTTGAGAACTGGGCACTGAGGAGCCAAGGCTGCTTTGACCCTTGCTAGCTGGGCCAGGTGCACGAGCAGCAGTACAGAGAGTTAGCAGTACTTCTAGAGGGTCAGATGGAAGAATGAAGCCTGGCAGTGATTTCTTTATTTTTTTTTTTAATAAAGCTAAAGACTCTTTGAAAACTACAGAGTTCCTGGGCTCAAATAATTTATCACTTACCACTGGAGCTCCGAGTTTAAAGTAGTCAGGATCCGAGGTGCTTGGTTCAAAGCAATTACAATTGGAGAATACTAACTGAGTGAATGTCCGGTCCCTGATTTGTGCCCTTCAGTTTACAAGAGGGCACTTGCTTGACAGTAGAACACACCGTGCGCGACAGCTGTCCAAACTCCCCTCGAGGTTTGGCCCTAAAAACAAAGGGTATGCCCTTAAGTGGGCAAGCATGATCCAGCCCTGAGCCCGAGGGGTGTGGAGCCAGGCAAGCTGGAGCTGATGGGTCTGATCTGGCAGCAGGAAGCAGCAATAAGGAAAGGAGGAAACAATTAAGCAGAGACGCTAAAATGCAGGCCAGAAGAAAGAAGCTATTGCCTGCTGGACAGGAATCCAGACAAGTCTCAGCTCAGTCACAAGAGACGACTTGAAGATTCAGCACTTTGGGGACAACAATGTTCAAAATGCAATTGTCAGAGAGGTCAGGTTTCTTGGTTTGAAGACACGCCTGGCATTTTACTTGCGAACGACGCAGGAAAGGCTCCTGCACCTGGCTCTCGGCAGACAGTAAATGCCGCCATCTTAAATCTACTGGCTCTATAGCAGCTTATCTACACTCAGAACAGGATCACAGGTTATGGCTCCTAGTATCAAACTCTAAAATCCAGAGGCAGAAAAGCATCTGGACACAGATCAGCGGCTCAGACACTGCAGTGCTTCTGGCTGGGCACACTGGCCTGGCTGTGGTGGTGCTTAAATGGGCTGTAGTGAGGGGACAGGGATAGCGACCAAGGGATGCTCACGAAGGATCACAGGGCTGGGCAACTCCAGTCAGTGCTCAACCTTTCCTTCTGCTGGGGAAGACCGAATGTCAGCGCTGCACCCTCACCCCTGCTCACCCCTTTTCTTTCAAATCTGTGGCTGGCCAACTGTTGTGGGGGATACCCCCAAAATATGTCTCAATGCTTGCTCCCAGAAGCATGGTCACATGTAAAATTGCAAAAAACTAGGCCTCTTTTGAAGATGCAGGACCTAGAAGCGTGGTGGGCTGTCCTGTGTTGAGAGCATGTGCCGTGGCAGAAGCTCACAGAGGCCAGGCCAGGAGCTTGCTGCAGGGGCCGGGGTGGGGTGAGTGACCCACCCTGCATGACAGGTTCATGAGGATCCTGAGATTTGTCCAGGCACGGCTCAGGGTCAAGCCCTGGGTTTCTCCAACATAAGGACAGAGTGGTGTGAGCATGTTACAGGGACAGCAAAGGAGAGGGGGTGAGCAGTCTCTTTTAAATAGTGCGGCATTCATACAGGATGAGAAAACCCAAAGGGAAAGATTTTCATCTAGGGATCAAACCTGCGGTGTCTTGCTCCTAGGTGACAAAGGGAAGATCTTCTAGCCAGTGCTCTAGAAGAGAAATCTAAAATCTAGACTCTTCTGAAAATCCCTGTTCCTGGGGCATGTTAAAAACCTGAAGAGTCCATGTCTCAGTCTAGCTCAGGCCACGATGGGATGTAGAACCTCTGCAAGGAACCTTCCAGCAGGCGCTCCATCCACAAGGACAACTTGCTCAGCTTGCCCTTGAGGGGCTTGGGCCCAAGGCCAAGGGGAGGCTTCTCTCGGGAGAAGTCAGGGTCACAGGAGCCCACAGCCTCTTCCTCCACTGTCTTCTGGGGCTTGAAGAGGCAGAAGTACTTCTTGTGGCCATTCAGGGCCAGCACGTAGCCAGTGTAGTCCCGTTCCATAAAGTGCTTGTCGTACTGGTTTGGGATCGGGGCCGCGTCCTGAGCAAACTCCAGCAAGTACTCCAGCCACTCCCGGTGTTTGTCCAGACTCAAGAAGGAGAAGTGGAGGCTGCTGCTCCTGCGGGAAAAACAGATGAGGGTTCAGGAAGGTCTGGGAGTTTAACTGCAGGTCATCAAGGGGAGTCAGCACCCCAGGCAGGGTGACTAGCTTGTGCTCAGGAAAGGATTCTGAGGAGCTGGGGGTGGGGTGGGGTGCGCACTTTTCTGTTCAGAAGCAGCAGCACTTGAGAGCGACTGGAGAGTGGGGAGGAGGGAAGTGCTGAGCCTGTAATCCTAGCACTTGGAAGGCAGAGGCAGGAGGATTGTTCTGAGTTTGAGAGCACCTAGGAGCCAGGTTTGGTGGTGCATGCCTTTAATCCCAGCATGTGGGAAGCAGAGACACGTGGATCTCTGTGAGGTCAAGGCTAGCCTAGTCTACAAATCGAGATCCAGGAGAGCCAGGACTACACACTGAGAAATCCTGTCTCAAAAGCAAAAACAAAAACAAAAACCTAAAAACCAACCAACCAACCAACCAACCAAAAGAAGTGCTATCCATAAATCCATAAATCCAGTGCTATCCATAAAGTACAAGATCAAGCCACGCATGCTGGCACCTTCCTTTAATCCCAGCACTCAGGAGGCAGAGGCAGGTGAGTTTGAGGCCAACCTGGTGTACAGCATGAGTTCCAAACAGCCAGAACTATGCAGAGAGAATCTGTCCCAAAACATCTAAACACACACACACACACACACACACACACACACACACACACACACACGCACAACCCAAACAAAAGTCAAGAGATGCAGATGCCTGGCTGGGAAGGGTATAAAGTATTGCTCATCTAATGGAAGTGTCTAGCCGTCTTCCAGTCTCTTATCCCAAGTGGAGAAGCTTTTCTCTTCTTTTTTAGATACACACAACCCCACACCTCCTTCCCCCCTCATTTGCACCTACACACACACACACACCCCTGCTTACCCGGTGAATGTGTAGACTTCCAGAGCAAATTTCTGCAGCAGGCTTGTCTTCGTCGAATTAGACAGGATGAGGACCACATTCATGTGGCCTGGCCTCAGGCGTACCAAGTTGCTGGTGTATGTCACATCTGTGAGTTCAGTTACCTCCACAAAGCCTTTTTTAGGAATCTTGCTGTGGAGAAACATGGAGGAGTTTAGACATCAGGACCGGGGAGAGGAAACCAGAGGAAGCCACTAATGGTAGCCCATGCCTGTAATCCTAGGAGCTGGGAAGCAGAAGCAGGAGGATGAGAAGCTTGAGGTAAGCCTCAACTGTGTAATGAATCTGAGGCCAGCCTGGGCTATGACAGTAAACAAACATGCCAACTTCCTCTTAACCCCAACAAAACAAACAAAACCAGTAAAGCAAGATGCCTCCTGGCTAGACCCCATCTGCCACTCAACACGGGCTTCGACCTTCTGGCTGTAGGGTGGCTCTGGCCCACAGCAGCCCTTCTCTTGCTGCTTTTCATCCATTGCAAAAACAGCTGCAGATGTGAGCCAAGGAGGCTGTGAATTCTCAGTGAATTGCTAACTCAGACTGGTCCCTTGCTGGAGACATTAGCAGTTATGAGTCATGGCTACCCCAGCTTCTGGCTCATTTACCACCTCCCTTGTGCTTTCTCCTTTCTCCCCTGCTTTCATTACTGAAGCTGGGATCGCAAATCTGAAACCACAGAGCACTCATCAGTCCTGTACCTCCATGTGCAGAGGTCTGAGTGCACCCCAGTCAGCAGTGACTTCCCTTTATTCAAGTGGGAAGGGGCCGGAGAGCCCACTCAGTTAACTGAGTGTGCGCTGATCTTCCACAGGCCCTGGCACCTGGGTCCAGACGTTCACAAGTCTGGAACTCCAGCTCTAGGGGCATCTGATTATTTCTAGCCTCTGAGGGTACAAACCTATATACACGTACATAATTTAAAAATAACAGTTTAAAAAAACAACAACGCAGAATGCCTGGGAATAGAAGCACTTTGCAGTTTTGGATTCTTCCCCCTCCCATTTTATAAGATGTGCAAACATTCAATTGAGACATAGCAGTCAAAACATGGCATATACTTCATGTTCATATACTTCAGCCTGAAGGTGACTTCACACATACTCTGCGTGCATGTGCCCTGTGACTGTGACTCGCCGGATGAAGTACACATTTTTTTTTTTTTTTCCTGAGATGAGGTCTCAATATGTAGTTCTGGAACTCTATAAAACTCACAGGGATCTGCCTGCCTCTGCCTCTCAAGAACTGAGATTAAAAGTATGTGCCACCACGACTCGCTGTTACAGAACACTTTGCATGTGGCCTTACGTTGCTGGCCATGGCTTCACACTCGGGACAGTTTAGAGCTGGGGGCTAGGATGTTGCTCAGTGCGAGCTCTTATCTAGCACGAGTGAGGCCCAGGTTTGATCCCTAGCACGGCAACTCCTCCACTCCCCAGCCAACAGAGTTTAGAGCCAGGTGAGGGGAGGCCTTTCTGCGCTGTGCATCCCACAGTGCTCTGAGGCTAAGGGCAGGTGTGTGGTGTGGAGAAGAACCTGCTGTTTTCCTTGGCGAAGCTTGGCTCAGTCTTCCCAGCCTTCTCAGGGACTTCTTCTTTATCTGGAGGGTGTGATTCTCGTTCCTCACTGGAGTCACTACCGAATGGAAAGAGAAGTTGCTTTTCTTTTCTTTCTTTTTTTTAATGGCCATGGCATATTGGGGCTCCTATTGATACTTCCTAGGCTTACCTGAAAGCCTGGACAATGACGGTGCCAAAGAGGATGAAGAGGGCTGAGAAGATGAGGGACAGTAGGGGCATCATCTCCCTCCTGCAAGCAAAGGCAGATATTAGCCCCACATCTGCTGGGCTTGGAATTTCCTCCCTCTGTCTCAGCAGGAAAAAGTCCTATACCAAAAGCCTTCCACACCAAGAAACATCACAAGACAGGCTGATATTGAGGTCGGGGAGACTGTTTCCTGAGTGTCCAAGTCACAGGCACTGCGTGCTGGAGGGCGGCTTTAGGCTATGTCTCTCATCTTCTACAGAAGGAGATGAAGGACTGAAGTTGGACACATGAAAGGACTCTCTGACACCAAGGTATCTATCGGTAGCTACAGGGTCTGTGGAATGATCTTGATTGAACTGACTCTCCTGAGACCAGAATGATCAGTTGTGGCCCAGAGAGAACAGGGAGTGTCACAGTCAGATTCAACTGTCAAGTGGACACAAACCTGGAAAGGAGAGTTGCCTCCATCAGACTGGCCTGTGGGGCACTTTCTTGATTACCAATCCACATGGGAGGGCCTGGCCCACTATGGGAAGTCCCACTGTGGGCAGGCAGGGCTGGAAAATGTAGGATTGGCAGCTGAGCAACCCAGTAAGCAGCTCTCCTCTGTGGTCTCTGCTTCAGCTCCTATCTTGGCCTCTAAGCCAAAATAAGCCTTTTCCTCCCCAGGTTTGTTTTGGTCATGGATGGATATATTTGTGCATGTACACACTGGACTATATGTGTCAGGACCTGTGCTGAACAGAAGACACACCATGAAGAAGGGACCAGGGCCAGCTCTGCTCACGAGAAAGCCAGCAAGAAGTGCCAGTCAGCAAATGGTAAAAAGCAAAGCAAAGAAAAAGGGAGCCGGTCACTGGGCCCATGTGAACTCTCTGCTCCCAGCAGCTTGTGCTCACTGACATCCTAGGGTAGCTCTAATAGGGAAAAAGGAACCCCACAGGGCCATACCAGTTACTGTGAAGCAAGCTCTCCCAGAAGTCTGAGAGGGAGTCAGAAACAGAGTAGAACCACCGGAGGAAAAATACCTGTCAGAGAGGAAACAGGCAGTGCGTCAGGACTGAGCCCAGAGGGAGGCCCCCACACTTGCCACCAGAGCGCCTCTGTGATCTCTGCTTGCTCCTCCCCATGGCCCATCCTTCCCCACCCTGATGCTCACCGGGGCAAGTTCATCAGTGAGGTCAGGGAGCACAGCTTCTGAGGATAGAAATGCTGGATCTTTCCGCAGCTGCTCAAGGTAACTCAAAAGGATGAACTTATCACTTTCACTGCCAGTCCAGGGATCTTCCAGGGTTTTAAACACCACCCTCCCTGCTGTGTTTCGCCTCTCCAAGATGGACACCTGGGAGAAAAAGAGAAAAATCATTAGGAGTCTCAAAAGCAGCAGGACAGAATGACACCAGTAATCACAGCCCCCGAAGGCTGAGGCAGGAGAATCAAGAGTTTGAGCCCAACCTGGACTTACACAGCTAGATCTCGTACACAAAAAGGTAAGCTGCAACTACCTGTGCTTTTTTAAGGAAGATGGGCAAAATGGCTTCATGAGGTTAGCAATTAGGCTAAAACACAAATATTGATGTATCTGTGATATTTGTAGGAGGTCCTGAGATCTTTCTGGAAAAAGGGATCATTACTATCTTAACTCGCTGTGTAGCTGTGAGAACGACCCTGAACTTGCCTCCATCTCACCAGCATCCCTGCCAGGTAGGGAGCTCAGGGCCTTGTGCATGTCAGACAAGCAATCCACCAACTGAACCTCATCCTCAGCCCAGGAGCTGGTTGTAAAAGGGACTTTTTTTTTTTTTAAAGAGATTTATTTTATTATGAATATAGCGTTTTGCCTGCATATACAACTGCCAGCAGAGGGCGCCAGATCTCATCATAGATGCTTGTGAGCCACCATGTGGTTGCTAGGAATTGAACTCAGGACCTCTGGAAAAGCAGCCATGCTCTTAACCTCTGAGCCATCTCTCCAGCCCCATAAAAGGGACTTTTATTTGACTGTTTCGGTTGTTGTCTTGGAGGCTTACTGCCTCTGTATGCTAACCTAGCCTAGTCCTGGAAGCTTCTAGCCTCCATACATTTTACCCTAGACCTAGAACATTTTCAGCCTCTGAGACTTATTGCTTAATAATCTCACCCTTTCTTGTCCTTTCTGAGCTCTGGGCTGGCTGGTTCAACTCAGCTATTCTGGCTCAAACTCCTCCTAGCTAACTTATTCAATCTGGCTTTTTCTTTCAGCCTCTGAATTGCTTGGCCTCAAACTAAATCCAGCAATCTCTTCTAATATTCTGGCTCCATGTCTTTTGACTCATTCTGCCTTCAACCTCTCTCTGCAACCCGTCTCTCTATTACTGTCCAGTTAAAACTGTCTCCTTTCTCTCTGCATTGCCCCTTAGTAGCTTCCCTTTCCTCTTTTTTCCGTGAAGTTGGGCATATCCTAGTCTGTCAAATCTTTCTCTGATTCATCAGTTTTTCTGCCACTCAATTAGACATCACTTTCAAACATGGGTGCTTCCTTCTACAAAGTAACTTCACCTTCATTATTTGGGATGAAAGGTGTGTACCATCATGCCTTTCTTTACCTGATACTTGTTCTGTACCAGGCTGGCCTTGCAGTCAGATCTGCTTGCCTCTGCCTCCTGAATTAAAGGAGTGTTTTCCAGCTGGATCACATAGACCTAGAAGGATGTGATCTCTTGCCAGAGCAGCCATGTTTTGAATTAAAATTCTTCTTTAACTAGTTTTGTTTGAGATAATGTCTCATGTTACCTAGGTTGGCCTTAAACAACTAGGCTCAAGAGATCCTCAAACTTTGGCCTTCCTAGAACAATAATTTCATTAATTTTTGCTTCTTAAAATTTTTTTATTCATGTGCCAGGCATGGTGGTGCACACCTTTAAAATTAGCACTCAGGAGGCCAAGACAGGTGGATCTCTGTGAGTTTGAGGCCAGCCTGGTCTACAAATTGAGTCCAGGATAGCCAGGGCTCTGTTACCCAGATTCCAACCAGGTCTAAGAGCTTTCCTGATGTCTGGACGCTCTACTCAGCACTCCCAAGACAGGAGGAATGGGAATGGGGGTTGGGGTCCTTGGCTCACCCACGACTTCCCTTCAAAGGCCTCAATGTCCGGTAGCAAGGTGCTGGCAAACTCCTGCTGCCGGTTGATGTAGACATGCACGAACCGCACTGTGTCCTGGGTGTTTGCCAGTGCAAAGGACAGGAAGGCGTCAAAGGGTTTGCTCAGCTTGCTAGCCTCAGCTGTCAGTAAAACCACGCAATACCTGCACACAAACAAGAAAGGAGGTCCTAAAACCAATCCCGGGGCCTGGCCAGGGCTGGCGACGGCTGTTAAGGGAGAGAGACACACCTGCAGGATGGAGGCCTGTCTACCAGGAAGCTTTTAGAGGCCCCTGTCCAGATCTCCTGTCTCAGGGAGGAGTGTTAGGACTTATCTTAGGGCAGAGGCGACCAAACGTCGTTCTGAAGGGCTGCTTCTGCAAGGTTCTAATAAAAGCCTAGAGTTCATCCATTTATTCTCCTAACATTCACCACGCTATCAGGCAACATTCCTACCCTCTTTCCAGGGGAGAAGACAGACAGTAGATACACAGACACATGGGTATTGACGAGTGCTGTGAGAAAAAGGAGAGGAAGGGACCGAGGTCAGTGTGGGGCAGAAGTCGTACTCATGCAGACCAGGAAAATGCCACCTGATGTCTGAGCAGACACTTAAATGAAGTGCTGTAGGAGAAGAAAAGAGGGAGGAGCAACTTGATCTGACCAGGGCTTAGAGAGACCAAAGGTAGAGGGTAAAGGAATGCATAGGAGCACAGGACATGGCGGAGGCCTGCTCAAGAGCAGTACTGGTAAATTAGTGAGGTTTATCCTAAGCTGTGTGTGATCTATCTCGGCGTGTGGGGGTCACTCTTTTCCTTCCACCACACAGATCTCAGATGGTCAGGCTCAACAGCAAGTGCCCGTGCCTCCCTGGGCCCTCCAGGTATCTGCTGGATAATGTGGCCCCGTCTATAATTTTACCATGTGTCCTAAAGGTGCCCTGGACTAAGGTACCCCACCCCACCTTACAGGTTTGACTGCCCCGAAGCAAGGCAGCGCTGCTCCCCCCAACTTCAGTGAGAGGCAGAGCCTTGACTTCTTACTTCCTCTGTCGGTGAGACCGCTTCACAGGGCAGAGTTCATGGAACAGTCTCTGGCTGGTGAGCCGGGCCGCCATCAGGTACTTGTTCTGGGCAATGAAGTCCTCGATGACCTGCTTCTTTAGCCCTCGAACCTGGAGAAAAACAGCAACAAGCACTCAGTTTTCACACTGCACATGGACTTTTCCTCCCAAGCTTCTCAAGACTGCAGCTGACCCTGGCTAAAGCAGCATCACCAGGCAAGAAATGTGGAGCTGTCAGGTGGTTTCTACTCTGCAGACTGTTTTAGACTAACAGCTTGAAAGAGGCAGTCAGGTTTAATTTTACACAAATATATTTCCACTTAGGATTGACAGCAAACTAAACAATTCAAAATAAATCCCAGGGTTAAGCGGTGGCTCAGTGGCAGAACACTGGTTTAACACTCAAAGTGCTAGAGTCAGTCTCCTCAAAAAGATACAACAAACACCCAAACAGCACAGCAGTAGCTTTTGTTTTTTGAGACAGGGTCTTTATGTAGGCAGGCTGGCGTGAAACTTACTATGTAGACCAGGATAGCCTCAAATTCACAAAGATCCACCTGTCTCTGCATGTGCCACCATGTCCAGCTCCCAGACCCCTTTAGAGCCAGAGTCCTATGTAGCCCAGGCTGGAACCCAACTTGTTATGTAGCTGAGGATGACCTTGGACTCCTGATCTCCCTGTTTACCTTCCTAGTTCTGGGATTTCAGGCTTGTGTCACCACATAAATTCAGGGCTTCATACAGTCACCTCCCAGCCCCTCCCCAAACAGTTACCAAGAATGAAGAGCAGACTGCTTTGTTATGGCTTTCATGCATTTCAAAGGGCAGACATCACATAGGAGGTGCTAACCAGCCATCAGCCTCAGGAGGCTATTGTGTACTTAGCAAACCCTAAAGACAGAGCAGATAAATGACTGACTATTGAAGTGTTTGCAAAGCTGCTGGGTGCTACAAGGTCAATATTTGAGCACCTACTGTATTCCTTAAATCAGCAGACAGAGTTGAACACAATTGCTGTTTCACCAGTACGAAGAAGGGTGAGCTAACAGTGAGATGGCTCAGTTGATAGGGGTACTTGACAGAAAGCCTGATAATGTGAGTTTGATTCTCCAAACCTACCGGGTGGAACAAAGAACTAATTTCCACAAGATATTCTCTGACCTTCACACAAACACAGGAATGTGCCAGATATACACACATAAGCAAATGTGAATTTTAAAAAAACTGTAATCATTAAAAGCCAACCACTGACTGATAACCTCACAACCTTCCAACCTCTATCTCCTACCTGTCTACCTCTTTAAAACATTTTGAGATAGGGGCTCAAGTAACCCAGGCTGGCCTGGACTCACTGTGCCAGTTGAGAATGTCCTGGAACTTCCGTCCTTTTGCTTCTACCTCCTGAATGCTGGGATCACAGGCCAGCCCTTCCTCCCTTCTACAGTGCTGGGCCAGCACCTAACAAATCCGCTGCTGACAGAGTCCTATTGCCCCCTGAGCTGGCTTTGAATTCCCAACTTTCTCAGCCTTCGAAGTGTGGAAATTATAGGTGCTGCCACGAACCCAGCTTCCACCTGCCTTTCCTAACTGTCCTCTGTCCACCTGTGTAAGAGTCACCCGACAGCATTTGCTATAGGCAGCTCTAAGCATGCCTAAGATGAATCTGTTGTCTTCTTTCCCTATCAGCCATTTCCCTGTCTGGTTCTACCTCACAAAATGAACTTCCCTATTTCCAGTCTCAGACCCTCCCGTATGCTGAACAAGTTGCCCATGATAGTGGGTAGAGACTGTCTCTCCTCCCTCGACTGAACCACTTTAGAGGCCTAACTATGGATGGCCCAATGAATACTGTATTCACTACACAGCACTCAGGCAACGAAGTGTTTATGAAATGAAATGACCAAAATGAAGCACATTATTGTTACTTGTAATTATGTGCATATCTGTGTGGGTATGTACATGTGAGTGAAGGCAACCACAGGTGCAGAAGAGACTGTCAGATCACCTGGAACTGGAACTGGAGGTGGCTCTAAGCCACCCAACACACGTGCAGGGAACTGAATGAACTCTAGAACTTTGGGTCCTCCGGAGTAACCCATGTGTTTTAACTGCTGAGTCATCTCTCCAGGCCCCAAATAGAACACGTAATAAAACTTACTGCAGATTTTCTTAAGAGTCAAGGGTCAGAGGGCATGGTGGTGCATACCTTTAATCCAAGTACTCAGGCGGCAGAGGGGGCTGGGGCAGGGGCAGAGGCAGATCTCTGTGAGTTCTAGGTCAGCCTGGTTTATATAGTGAGTGAGACCCTGTCTAGAAAACAAAACCCAAAAATCTACAAACACCTCTTCTCTCAAACCAAGATTTTCCTGCCTTAGCCTTCAGAGTACTCAAATTCCAGGTATGTGCCACATGAGACAAAATTTTTTTAAAGCAAAACACCATTGTGTCAGATTAAAACAACTAAACAAAACAAAATTTATTGCATTGGTAGAAAGAAAAATGCCAAATGAGTTTCTCGTGTTTGTTGGCTGTTTTGTCTTTCTCCCTGACTTGCAGGAATTGGTTTTCTCCTACCACGTGGGTCCCAGGGATAGAACTCAGGGATCGGGCTGGCAGCAAGCCTGATGAGCCATCCTGAGGCCTCTTTCTCTGAGACAAAGTCTCATCATGGTAGCTCAGGCTAACCTCAGACTCATTATGTAGTTGAGAATGACCTTGAACTCCTGATCCTTCCAGTGCTGAGACTAAAAACTTGCTTTAAAGTTCAATTCTGTTGCTTTTTCACATGAAGGCGGAGGTAAAATGAAGGACATGCGGTGACATTCACGTACCTGGATCACATCAGCAGGCTTGTTGATGTGTTCCTTAAAGATCAGCATGGTGGGCGCATAGACATTGATGTTGTACTGCCTGGTCATCTCCTCTGTGCCTCTCAAGCCAACGTACACATACCCAAACGACACATAATCTTTGTATGCAAAGGCCGTCAGCTATAAGGGCATAAGAGAGGATAGAAATGAAACGGACAGCTTGGCATCCAGCTTACAAACCAAGCGGGACCTGTTAGTGTCAATGGCTAGCATGAGCTGTCAGTTTATGGAGCCTGTGAGTCTTCCTCACCCACACATCTACTTCAGACATTCTATGGTATTCTAGTCTACGCACAAAAATACATTTCTCAAGAGATAAAATAAGATAATCATAGGCTGAAATCTTGCCTGGGTGCATGTGTGTGTTCTTGTGTGTGTATGTGTGTGCAAGTCCATGTATGTGTATTTGTGTGTCCATGTCCATCCCAGCAATAAACTACCACAGGCTGAGCACCCTTATCTAAAACACTTGAGTCCAAAATGTTTCAGGCTCCTTCAGATTTTGGAATACTAGCATATCCACAATGAAGTATTCTTGGGACAGCACCAAATTTAAACACAAAATCTGTATGTTACACACACAACTTCTATACACGGTGTGAAGACAATTGTATACATCTTAGTGTGCCTGTGTCTTGACTGTGACTTGTCACATGAGGTCAGGGCAAGGCACTGATGTTCAAGAGTCTTCTGATTTCAGCTCTTTAAACTAGAGATGCTCCACTATCTGATTATACAGAAGCAGGCTACAGCTGTGGTGCACAGCTGGCTCCCCGCCAGCAAAACAAGGCGCTGCTCCCAGAGATGAGTTACCTTGTACAGCAGGGGCACTGCTGGTGTCTGGCCGAACAAGAGGGCATGAGGCTTATTCTCCTGCTGCCAGCCAGATAGGAATCGCACGTAGTTTTTATTTGTAACCTTAAATTGGAAATAGAAGGTTAGTTGTAATAATTAATTCAAATTCCCCAGAACTGGAACCAGAGCTCCGATGGTTATGACCTGCCATGTAGATGCTGGGAACTGGACCCAGGTACTCTGCAAGAGTAGCCAGCGCTCTTAACTGCTGAGGCATCTTTTTCATCCAATATTTAATTCTCAACAACTATATTATACTTCTGTCAGGGATAAATACATTATATATAAAGGTTGTTTATTTAAAAAATGCAGACAAGTCACCTCTTTTGTCTTTTTTTGAGATAGGGTCTATTTGGACCTGGCTGTCCTGAAACTCGCTAAGTAGACCAGGCTTGACCTCACAGAGATCCTTTTGCCTCTGCCACTCATCCTTTTTTTTTTTTTTTTGCTTTTTGAGACAGGGTTTGTCTGTGTAGCCGTGGCTGTCCTGCACTCGCTTTGCAGACCAGGCTGGCCTTGAACTCACAGAGATCCACCTGCCTTTGCCTCCCCAGGTGCTGGGATTGCAGACGTGTGCCACTGTGCCTGGCTTGCCACTTATTGGTTTGTCTTAATTTGACAAAACCACTAGAAGAATGGAGACATAGATGTCGTTTGTTTACAAACTCTGACAGATTAAAATCTGTATGAAAGACTTACTTGACCATATTATAAAGTCACTTCTCCAGTTGTTCTTTCTTGTTTGTTTTTTGGTCGGAGCACTGGGGATTGAATCCAGGGCATTTCTAAGCACAGCCGTGCCCTCAGCCCCAGAGCACACTTTACCAGAAGGCACGCAGTGCTCGTCCTGTGAAAATGGCTCAGGCTGTGCTGGAGGGTGCTCGGTGGTAAGGGTGCGTGCAGTTTTGAAGGGACCCACGTCTCAAACACCACCACCAGAATTACATTTATTTACTTTGTGTATGTGTGTGGGTACAACAGCTCTGCGAGCATATGTGGGTCAGAGGGCAACTTGCAGGAGTCGGGTCTCCTTCTACCATGCAGGTCCTTGGGCATCACACTGAGGTGTCAGACTTGGCAGCAAGTCCCTTTACCTTCTGAGCCAGCTCCCCAGCCCTCAGTTAGCTTTTATTTTTTGTTTTTAAGACAAATTTTCTCCATGTAGTCCTCGCTGTCCTGGAACTCGATATATAGGTCCTATCTAGCCTTAAACACACGGAGATCTGCTTTCCTCTGCCTCCCAAGTGCTGGGATTAAAGACATGTTCGCCATGACTGGCTCCTCACTAAGCTTTTAAAGTTCCAGAAATAACATCTGGTTTACTCTATCTGGTGGTTTTGGTAAATATGATCCTTAAAAAATGTAAAAGTATAAACTGATTTTCATATTTTCACTGGACAAATACACGCATATGAACAAATATATGAGCCATAAATTCTACCACATGAGCTAACTTTGTTGTTGTTTAGGAAATGAACTGTGGCTTCAGATCAGGTTCCTGTGATATAAGACCTGTGAGTGGCTTATTAACAGCAGTGAGCTCTCTCTGCTCTGTTCTTTTGCTTCAGCCTTCAGTGTCCTCAGGCTTCACCATATGATTTGGTGTAATGAAATGTATGTGACTCTTCTGCTCAGAGGGAAGATTGGAAGGTTCCAGCTGGCAGCCAGCTACATTCTCAGGGGACACTCACCTTCTCCACCAAGTTCCCTGGAAGAAGACTCTCCACGAACTGCCACAGGTTCTCAGGAACCACTGCATTGTGGAAGAAGGAGATCTTCCCATTGATGATTCCTAGGATGGAGGGGGTACTGTGCGCTCCCAGGTGATGGGCCAGGCGTCTTTCGTATCCAGCATGGACAACACCAATCCCCACACCTGAAAAGCATGGAAGAGTTCCATGAAGCCTTTCTGAGACTCTGGCAGGAAGGATGCTGACAATTCCCTTACAGTGGAAGCCGAAACCCAACTAGTCTGGAATAAATACTTTTCTAATAGGTTGTTTAACATTCTTTTACTCTTAGAATTCTAGATTGGTCAGCTTTTCTATAGAACAATCAATTACAAATAATTGCAAACCTGAATATCTTTTAAGCCTGCTATTTCTAGTTTTGGAAGGTTACAAGGAAATTCTTAAGAAAAAAAACAAAACAAAACCAATAACCAAAGAGATGGTGCAGCAGATAAAGGAGCTTGCTGTCAAGCCTGAGGTCCATCCCTGGAGCCCACAAGATATAAGGAGAGAAATGACTCTGACAGGTTGCCCTCTGACCTTTGTACACTTTCCTGTGCACACAAGCATGCACGCACACACACACAGAGTAAGTAAGTACAAAAAAGAGAGAGCAATCTGTATACCATATTCCTACCCAAAAACATGTATGAACAACCAAGGGTCCAACGACTCAACACCCGCCACCACTGCCTATGACTTAGCAACAGGAGACAGTCACAGCTCACCCTGGGGAACAACACACCCCCTTTACACACATTACTTTATCGAGACACTGAAAAATACAAGTTTTCCAGTGAGATGGCTTGTGGGTAAATGTGCTTGATATATGAGATGGATCACCTGGGTCTAATCCCTGGCACTCATGGATTGGTGGGAGAAGAGAATCAGTGCCATAGGGTTGCCCTCTGACCTCCACATGCTTGCTGTTCCCTGTATGTCCCCCTCCAACAACAATTAAATGAAATAAAAATAAATGCTAATTTTGGGGGCTGGAGAGATGGGTCAGAAGTTAGGAACACTGGCTGCACTGGGATCTAGGGTCAATTCCCAACCTCTATTTGGTGACTTAAGCTGTCTGTGACTCCAGTTCCAGAGAATCAAACACTGTCTCTGGTCCCCTCCGGCACCAGGCACACATGTAGTACAGAGATGTCCATGTTGGCCAGGCATGAGGGCGCACACCTCTGATCCCAGCACGGGAGGCAGAAACAGGTGGATCTCTGTGAGTTTGAGGCCAGCCTGGTCTACACATTAAGTTCCACCCAGCCAAGGCTACATAGACAAACACTGTGTCTCAGTGTTCACTTCTGTGAAGAGACACCATGACCACGGCAACTCAGAACATAAAGTATTCAGTTTCAGGGGGTTAGCCCATTCAGCAGGGAACATGGAAGCATGCAGGAAGACAAGGTTCTGGAGAAGTGGCTGACAGTTCTACATTCGGATGCTGGCAGCAGGAAGAGCAAACCACTGAGCCTGACTGGTGCTTTTGAAACCTCCACTCATGGTGACAGACTTCCTCCAACAAAACCACACTTACTCGAACCAGGCCACACCTCCTATACCTTCTCAAGAACTGCCAATCCCTGATGACTGAGTATTCAAATACATAAGCCTGTGGTCGACCTAGCTGGCCCCTTGAGTGCTGGGACTAAAGTGCACCACCAACAAGGCTACACATTCTTTTCAAAGTGAAACAAGAGGCAAGGAGCTGGCTTAGTGGGTAAAAAGCTTGCCACAGAGGCCCAGTGACTTGAGTTCAGACCTGCAGAACCTGGGTGGAAAGACGGACGGAGTAGTGTGCACTGTAGTCTCAGTGCTCCTGTGGAGAGACAGGAGGCAGAGAACCAGAGAAGCCTGTGGCGAGCTATCCTGGAGCACACTGCACCGAAGAAGCAAGACAGACTTTGCCTTAAAACAAGGTGTGAAGCACGAACCGACTCCCAAAATGTGTTCTTTGACCTTCACACACATTCTTTGGCATTTCACATACCATGATGTACACAAACACACCTACAAAATTAATTAAAAAAAAAAAAACACTTTAAAAAAAGTGAACAGAGCTGGAGAGATGTTAAGAGTATTGTCTATTCTTCCAGAGGTCCTAAGTTCAATTCCCAGCAGCCACATGGTGGCTCACAACCATCTATAATGAGATCTGGTACCCTCTTGGTACCAGGTGGGCAGAATACTGTATAAATAAAAAAGAATGTTAGTTAAAAAAAAGTGAACAAAGTTAACACCATCAAGAGCCCACTTACCATACGAGCTGAGCTATTAGTAGTTTGGTAATTACCTGTTAACTCCTTTCTGCCTATGCATGAGGACACATGCAACAGAGTGGGGCCACCTGACAGCTCTCTTTTCACCTGACACTTGCTTTGCTTAACACCAGTGTCTTCTCTTATTCTTTCATTTAGCCGGTATATCTCCCAAATGCAAGATGAACAGCCAGAAGGAGACATTTTTGGGCTGGCTGGTAGACTTGAGTGCCAAGCACCTGAAATTGAAATCCTGGTCTCCTCTCACAGCCGGTCCACCACTGCCTTTGCCAGTCCAAATATTACAGTTCCCTTCCTCCCATTACACAGCCCAAATGACAGACAGCCACCCTTCCCTCCCCTCACACCCACATCCAATCTGCCAGCAAACCTCCTGGCTCTCTCTTCAGAAAATGCCAACGCAGCAGCTTTGATCACTTCTATAACTGTCTTCCTCTTCCCCCTCCTTCTACCTCACTATGTAGCCAAGGATAACCCCAAACACAGTGATCCTCTTGCCTCTGGCTCCCCAGGTGCCTGGGTTACCACAGGTGTGTACTACTGCACTCAGCTTCCTTATCCATCCTGGTTGGTGGCTACAGTGACCTCCTAACCAGTCTTTCTTGTTGCAGCCTGTTCTTAACATAAGGAGCAAATTGTTCCCTTTACATGAATCACACACTACTCTGTGCAAACCCTGCAAAGAAGAACTCACTCCACTTGGACCGAAAACATGGTCTACAAAAAAGGACAATGTGATTCTTTGTGACATGCTTCTTGGTCCTGTCTTTTTCCTCCTCCAGCCCCAGCATCCTTGGTCATCTTTGACAATGCAAGGATGCTACAGCAACCTGGCACACTGGCATCTCTGTAACCTTCCCCGACTTCAAATCGTCCTCAGGAGGCTTACATCAGCCTGTATTAAAGCTGTGTTCCCCACATGCAGCATTCCCCCACACCCACTTGCTTTGTATTTCCACAACTGACTGCTTCTATAGCAGTCCCAGAGGACAGCATCAGGGTCCTGAGCAGTACATGCTGCCACTCAGCTCCACCCCCACGCCTGCTTCTCAGCCTCTAGCTTAGCATGCACAAGCCCTTTTCTGCTTATTATTTCCAGGCTGTCTTCCCCTTCTAGAATGAAGGCTCCAAGGAAGTCAGGGGTGTATCAGAACAGAGCCAGGCACATAGTAGGTGCTCAATCAAAGTTGGCCATCCGTTTATTTGACCAATTCCTTCTTTGCTTTCTTTTCTTCTTTCTTTCTTTTTTGGTTTTTCAAGCCAGGGTTTTTCTGTGTTACAGCCCTGGCTGGCCTGGAACTTGATTTGTAAACCAGGCGAGCCTTGAATTCACAGTGCCTCTGCCTCCTGAGTGCTGGGATTAAAGGCTAACCAATGTTTCCCTACACATGGAGCTGTACAGGAGACAGGAAGAAACCAACTGCTTTCCTAGTGTCACACTCGACACTTTATACTGCGTGTGTGTGCCCATGCGCGCATGTGTACACATATATAAGAGCCTGTGTACAAATATGGAGGGCAGAGGTCAACCTTGTCATTCCTCAGGTGCCAGCCACTGTAGTTTTGGAGACAGTGTATCCTTCTTGGCTTCTGACCTGCTGATTATGCTACATTGGCCAGCCAGCAACCCTCAAGATCCACCCACTTCTGAGCACAGATTTGTGTGTGTGCCTATGTCTTATGTGATGTATATATATGTGTGTGTACTCACCAACACTTTACATGTGGATGCTAGAGGCTGATACTGGGTGTCTTTCTCTCTAGCGTTCCACTCCATTACTTACTGTTATTACTGTTGTTGGTATGTGCATACACACATGAGCTCTGCCCCGTGCACCCCATGGTATGGATGTGGAGATTAAAGGACAGCTTTTGCTGGCGTGGTGGCACACACCTTTTATCCCAGCACTTGGGAGGTGGAAGCAGGCAGATATCTGTGAATTTGAGGCCAGTTTGATTTACATAGCAAGTTTCAGGACAGCTAGGGCTAGACACATCCTGTCTCATAAAAACAAACAACCAGACAGCAACAGAGATAGGAGACAATCAAGGTCTGAGTTCAGATTCCCCTCACTTCCAGTCACCAGTTTGGGCCTCTCAGACTAAGCCCTCCAATACTGCTATCATCCAAGTGATCCCAGGGAGTCCTTCATGACCCTCCTTTATCCCTGACTCCTACAGGTTCCTTCTGATAGGCAGCGATGGGTTGCTTTGGCTATGGCACCAGGCTACAACACACCACGTCAATTTCTTGCCTTAAAGTTCTGGAGACAGGGAGTCCAGCTTATCCCACAGGCCTGAGTCATGGTGTCAGGGGGGCTGGCTTCCTTTGCAAGCTGCAGGGAACCTAGATCTGGGCCCTTTCCAGCTCCTGGTGACTGCCTGCATCTCTTGCCTTGTGGTCTCTAGTCTTTGTTCACATCTTTCTGACCTCTGCTGCCAAGTGTTATGCTCAGTTCCATGCCCACAATCCACATTGTGGAAGGAGAGAACTTAAAGCCATCCTTTCACCTCCATTTGTGCTGTGTGTATGCGCATACACACATGCAAAATGAAAATGTAAACTATGAAATGTAATATAGCCCTTGGTCCTACAGTGCTGAGGTTTAGCTTCCTCACTGCTCCCAGATCAGTTTCCCTATACCACCCAACACAGCAAAGGACACACAGGAAGCTATCAGGTCAGTGCCTCCCCTCCCCTCTGCTCAGGTGCTATACACAAGAGCAAACAACTTCCCATTGCCTTTGCCCTTGTACAAGTGCTTCTGCATAGCACACTTAAGGTACTTAGAACAAATGACCCCATGATTTCCAGACATCTACTCTTTTCAGAGAACTATGGCTCCTAGGATTGAGTTTGCTCCTTTATAAAACTACCCAATGGTTCTCTCTATAGGTGGCTATAGAATACACACACACACACACACACACACACACACCCTCAGTAACATCAACACTGAGAAATTACCTAAAACATATTCTCTCTGAATCACTAATATTGTCCTGGCCCCAAGTACTGAAGAATGATGAAGGATAGGGTTGATATGGTAGCCCACACTTTTAATCCCAACACAGGAAGAGGCAGGGGCACAGGCAGTCTGCCTTCTGAGAACCGTCTTGATTGGATTTCTGACAAGGTCTTATTCCATAGCCCCAACTACCCTGTAGCTCAAATATGTAGCCGAGCCTGACCTTGAGGTTGGGGCAATCTTCCTCTTTTTGCCCCACCCAAATGTTGGTTGGTCAAACCTGTTTTTTTTTTTTTTTTGTTGTTGTTGTTGTTTGTTTATTTTTTTGAGACAGGGTTTCTTTGTGCAGCCTTGGCTGTCCTAGGCTTGCTTTCTAGACCAGGCTGACCTTGAACTCACAGAGATCTACCTGCCTCTGCCTCCAGAGTGCTGGGATTACAGGTGTGTACCATAGCACCCAGCCCTCAATCCTGTTTTTAAGGTTACCCAGGCTGTGGGATTTAGTTATGGCAGTCCTAGCAAATTATTACATAAAGTAAGGCCACAGGTTCCATACATCTGCAATCATCACTGGCATTCTAGTGGGTGCTTGGGCCTGGCTTTAGTTAGCCAGTGCCTTTCTAGTTTCTCACCTGTATTATCAGCTTTCTAAGGAAGGACCTGGATACTACATAGATAAAGTTTCAAATCCATCAAGCAAAAGGACAGTGATGGGCCAGCAAAATGCCTCAGCCAATAAAGGCACTGACAACTTGAGTTCGGTCCTCAGGATCCACAAAAGGTAGAAGGAGAGAACTGACTCCTCAGAGTTGTCCTTTGATCTCTACATGAATACCACAGCAGAAGACTCCTATCCTTCCCTCCAAATAATACATAAAAAGTTTAAGAATTAAAAAAAAGAAAAGAGCCAGGCTTAGTGGTACATACCTTTAAGAAAATAGAGGCTAGAGAAATGGCTCAGTGGGTAAGAACACTTGTTCTTGAAGAGGACCTGGGTTCAAGTCCCACCACCCACATGGTGGCTCACAACCTACTGTAACTCCAGTTCCCAAGAACCCTTCACCTCTTCAGGCATTCTCAGGCCCAGGCATCCAAGTGATGCACAGATACACATGTAGGCAAAACATTCAAACATACTAAAAAAAAAAGTAGCTTAATATATCGACTCTCTCCATAAACATCCCTGGAAGATCAGTCAGTATGGAAAGGAAGCATACCGATTGTTCCCTTTCTTCAATACCCCATCAAATTAATGAATGATGGCCTAGAGATGCCTCTGCAGTTAAGAGAGCACCTCCTGGGGCTGAAGAGATGGCTCAGTGGTCAAGAGCTGCTCTTCAGAGGTCCTGAGTCTAATTCCCAGCAACCACATGGTAGCTCACAACCATCTATAATGGATCTGATGCCCTCTTTTGGCATGTAAGTGTACATGTAAATAGAGCATATATACATACATGTATATACATGTAAATAGAGCACCTCTAACTCCAGTTCCCCAGAATTTAATGCCCTCTTCTGGTTTCCATGGGTATCACATGCATGTAGTGTACATACATACATGTAGGTGAACACTCAATACACACAAAATATATAGATCTTAAAAAAGAAAAAAAAGCGTGACACGCGTCACCTCCTATAAATGTATCCTAATGAGGAAATGACTTACCCAGTCCTTCCAGTTCCTGGACCACTTCTTTCCAGACAGGCTCGATATGGATGCAGCTAAAGCACCAATCTGACGTGATCTTAATGAGGTAGGGCTTTTTGAAGCTGTCGGGAACCACTTCATTCACATAGTGTGAAAAGTGCAACAAGTACTTCTCATCATTTGAGTCCCGCCGCTCCGAATTGAAAGGAAAGTGAAAAAACGATTCATCGAAATAAAAGTTCTCATGGAAATGGCGAAAACGATACTCGCGCTGTTGCTTCTGGTAGCCTTGGTTCTCACCAGCATCACCATAATGGTCATAGTTTGTCCTCTTTTCCTCATTGGACAGAATCTGTAAGAAGATGATGAGTCTAAAGGATGAAGTGCTTACAAAAGGACTATCCTTTCTCACTGCTTTTCTTTTGGGTCAGAGGACTGAAGGCAGGCCTTGTGTACACTTGGCAAACTCTTTACCACTGAGCCACACCCCAGCTCTAAATGGCTTTTCTGTATCAAGCCTAAAAGATTTCTTTTCTTTTTTCTTTCTTTTCTGATGTAGGGTTTCTCTGTGTAGCCTTGACTGCACTGGACTTGCTTTGTAGACCAGGCTGGCCTCAAACTCACAGAGATAAACCTGCCTCTGCCTCCCCTAGTGCTGGGATTACAGGCACATACCACTGCACCTGGCTTAGAAGTAGATTTCTAATCAACGTATAGCAGGAATGCTGGGTCCAAATTCCAGCAAGGTTGCAGGGATGGGGAGAGAGGAAAGAAGGGAGAGACTATGTCCTGACCATTCCTAGAATCCACATGGCAGGAGAGAGCCAACACACACAAGTTTTCCTTTGATCTCTACATGAGTACTGTGGCACGTGCAGGCCCACAAAATACACACACACAAACAAAAAAACACAGAAGTTAATCTCAAACTTCCAAACAGAAACATTAAAACCTCAAATTTCATTTGCTGAGATCTTCATATGGTAATGTTGACATCAGAGTACCAAGCCATCCTAGTAATACTAAATGAGACTTGACACAAATGATGTCACCAGGATCCATCACAGAACGTTAACCTGTCCATACCTTTGGAATTAAGACTCACTGGACCAAGGTATGGTAAACTAGAATGTCAAAAAGTAACCAAAGAGAAGAGTCCAGTGCCTTATGTGTGAGCTAACTTCAGTTTTTGCATTCATGTTTATTTAGTATCTGCCAGAGCACAGGTGTGAAGGTTACAGGACAGCTTGTAGAAGTCACTTCCCTCCTTCCATTACATGGGTTCCTGGGTTGAATACAGGTCTTTGGGCTGAGCAGCAGGTGCCCTACACCCAAGGAGCCATCTCCGCACAGACTTTGTTTTGCTGAAACGTAGCTTTGAAGACTAGAATTTGATAATCTAGGGTGATGAGTCTCGTACAGCCTCATCACCGTCTGCTGAAGCACATTATGCTAACAAATCAGGCACCCAGGGACTCACAGCTTCTGTGGATTCTAGGCCATGCTACTTAAGCCGACATGTTGGAGACTTCCCAAAAAATGCTGTGTTTTAAAGTGACTTGTAACTTTGTGTAACCAGGCAAACTGGTGTCAAATTCTTAACCTTAGTCTCTACAGTCCCAACAGACATCTGTCTGGGAAGTGCACAATTCTATTAAAGGTTTTAAAATGGGCCAGGTTTCCAGGAGCTGCAATGTGCAGGTACCTGCTTCAACACGTTGGAGGAGACAGATATTTTTTCTAACATCATAAGGAAACTTGGTCCAAGTATGAGCAATGTGCCCTGCTGAGGGGATGGTATAGTACTCCTCACCTCTGGCCTACTTTCCTTTCAGCTTGTGTATGTGTTCATATTTCTGTTTGCATGTATATGAGCTCCTATGCTTGTGTGACCCACACAAGACCCAAGGCTCAGTCCCTCTCCACCTTATTATTCACTGAGGCACAGTCTCTCAGCTGAACCCAGACCTCTTAGATAAGGCTAGCTTAGCTAGACAGCTTGCCCCAGGGAGCCTTTCTCAGCCTTCTGAGAACTGAGTTTGCAGGCAGCATTTGTGTGGGTTCGGCAGATCTGACCCGTGCACCTCCTGTTCGCATGGCTGAGATACTGAGCCACCCCTCAGTCCCTGCATCCCATTTTCTAGGAGCTCAGGGAGGCACCGCAGTGGATGACACGGTACCTCGTAAGCTTTGCTGATCTGAATGAACTTGTCCTCTGCTCCAGGGTCTTTGTTTTTGTCAGGATGCCTGAAACACAAATGGTAGCCAGTGAGAATTTTTTATGTGCAGTCATTTTATAACCTTATATATACAGCTCACAACATCAGAAGCCAAGGGCAGGGTGGTTGGTTAGGATGGGTTCCTAAAATAAATGGTTAAGAACAATCAGTTACTTCATCTGACCATAAAGAAAAAAATGCAATTTTAACGCAGGCAATTTCCTCCCAAGATGCTCCAGCTGGGCACGCTTTCAGAGCATCAGACAGCACCACAGCATGTACCGAGGAGAGGTGGCATGTGTGGACCCCCATCCTCATCCAAGCTTGGCTCAAGCAGGTCAAGGCTAAGTCAGTTATGCATGATGGCCCTGGGCAGGAGTGTCTCCTTTTTGTGTCAGCTCCTTTTTCTCTGAGCGCAGGCAGCAGGTGCAGGCAAAGCTGTGGCTGTCAGGTGATGGTCACATTTCCCACGCCTGCTGCTCACTCTCGGATCAGAACCCTGGTTTGCCACAGCCCTGCTGGTCCCACTCTGCCTTTGACTGGAGACTTTAACCCTACACATGAGTAATGGTTCCAAGGCCACCCATCTAAGCTGTGAGGAAGCTGAGAGTCCATGCAAGGTTATTTAGGTTAATCTCAGAACTAGTTGGCACTGGCTGTTTCCACTTGGAGCCATGTTGTTCTACACCTTTTCATTTCTACAGTAATGCTATCTAAACTAACATTGTTTTGAGACAGGGTCTCAGGTAGGCCTTAACTCAGGAACCCCTGCTTCCATCTCAAAGTGTAGGACTGCAGGTGGGTGCCGCTTTCCACTGGCAGCTCAGGGAATTTTCTGGAGCAGAGACTAGTCAAACTTGCTCCCTGCTGTGCCCTAAGATCAAAATCAGACTTACAATAGTCACAGTATAAAGAGACTCTAGGTGACTGTTTGACACAGAATCTCAGTACGTAGTTCAGGCTAGCCTCAAACCCTTCATCCTCCTGCCTTGGTGTCATGAGAGCTGGGATCACAGGTCTGTTCTATGATGCAGACCCTTATTTATTCTTTGCTGTTGTTTTGAGACAGGGTCCCTCTATGTAGCCCTGGCTGTCTCCTGGAATTCTCTTTGTGGACCAAGCTGGCCTCAAACTAACAAAGATCTACTGCTTCTGTCCCCAAGTACTGGGATCAAAGGCGTGCACCAGCAAACCCTAGCCCATTTATTCTTCATATAATCACTTCTGCTAATCTTATGACATTTCTTCTAGGGACATTCTGGGAGAAAAAAAAAAAAAAAACACAATTCACAGCAAAGCAGAAGAGACTGACAACACACCAAACACACTGAGATTTACAAAACAAAACAAAACAAACAAAAAAACCAAAAAAAAACCCTACAACTCGGTAAACTTATTTGAGCAGGGATGTTTAAGTGGGTTTTATCCCATATTCTATCCTAAAAACAAAGAACTTCAAATGACTCTCATTTGGATACCCTGCTTGTAACCACTGAATCCTTGCTGTAAATATCAGTGAGGTTAAAAAGCAAACATCAAAGCCGGGCAGTGGTGGTGCATGCCTTTAATGCCAGCACTTGGGAGGCAGAGATGGGCAGATCACTGTGAGTTCAAGGCCAGCCTATTATACAAAGTAAGTTCAGGACAGCCAGAGCTGTTAAACAGAGAAACTCTCTCTTGAAAAACAAAACAAAACAAAACCAAAACAAGGTAAACATGAAGCAGGTACACCAAAACCAGCAAGACTTAAGGGAAGGGATGGTGGTTCCAAAGCATGTTTTTGGCTGACCAAAATAAAGAGTTTTTAATATTCAAACTCAGGTTAAAGGATGGGTGGATAAAACTGTGCATGCCTGCAAATGATGATTTAACACAAGGAGCTGTACAGAGCAGGAAGGAGAGGGGAGGCTGTGCAGATACTCTGCCGGTGGCAGCCAGGCAGGAAACAAGCTAGCTAAGAACCTTGGGAGGCACCTAACAGTTTCAGCTGACAAGGGGCTCTTTCCTGGAGGTGGAGGACCACCCAATGCTATGTTCAGGGAACGAGACAGATTCATGAGTCACCTCATGCCAGGCGAACTTTCCATTGCAAAGTGAAGAAAATACTGAGATGGGCTCAACGGACTGTCAGCGTGACCTCTAAATGATTAAAATGGCAAATACAATGAAGTAATCTATGAATGAGCCGGACTGACATGCCTTGGCTGAACAAACCAGGTTACTCCAGTCTGCTTCTCCTAGGGGGCCTTGGTATTCTATTAACACGGACGGCAAACCCACCACAAGACTTAATTCATGAGTGAGAAATATGGTTTCCCTGGCAGAAAAAATAGCCATTTCACATGGCTTTACCAAGTATTTTTTGTGAGGTTTAAGAAACACATGGGAAAGCACTTGGCAAAATATGATCCAAGTGCTAAACACTTCCCCCTACTATGGATCTTCTGGAAGTAAAGCAAGGACATAATGCTATTTTCAGTGTTTCTAATGAAACCTTCGAGAGGTAACACAGACTAAAACAAATGAGAAAACACTGCCAGGGTCCCATCAGTAGAAAACAGGAGAATGGCACAAACATGCACGTAAAATGAGTTCAATGCACATAGCCAACACTGTTAATTTGTTCGGTTATGAATTACTCTAAGAGACTCCAACAGGAAGAGAAGGGCACAGTTCATTTAGCCAACAGCAGAACACCTTTTAAAACTCCAGACAGAAAGGTCACAGCTGTCCACTGCAGTAAACCCATATCCTTAATGTACCATTCTGCCCAGCCAAGGCTAGAGAGCCTGTCCAGAGAAGGCTGTCATTTATGAACTAACCACAGATTGTCATTTTGCTTTAAGTACAGAGAGGCAGGGCCTTGAAATATTACTGAAAACCAATTTGGCAGAGAATTGCTGGAAAGAGGCCATGCATTATTCGACACTGTGTTTTCAGCATCCAATTCTAGATTCCTCATGCTATGTATATAGATGGCCCCAAATATTATTCATAACATTACACCCTTTACCACAATTTGTTTAGAAAAGCTAAATCTGCTCAGTAAGGAAAAGTGGTGCCACCCAGAGCCATGCAAGATTACAGATTCATTTGCTCAGGGCAGCTTTGTGGCTGCCCAACTTGACACCATTTCTCACCAAAGCACTAACCTGCTCAACCTTACCCATGTGCAGATGGATAAGTGATTGCAAAGCCAAGTACCAACATGAACTGACTGATGGTGCAGAACAAACTGTGGGCCTGAGAGGCCATACAGGTTTACCAAGTCTGAGCCTGACATTCCCATTTGTCAAGCAGGTTGAAGCATCTCTTTCAAGGGCTAATGAAATGGGTACAATGATACACATAGAATATAGACGTTAAGTATGCAGTAGGTGCTCAATAATGGTACTCCTGTTACTCTCTCTGCAGCTACTCAACACCTGTGCCTCTTTGGCTTGGCTGAAGCTGTCCTGGGAGAAGTCTGCCCAAAGTAAGTTTAACACTTATCGCTCCCCTGATAATTACAATCCTGATAACAACAGGTAAAACTGTGAGAGTTCTTATGTGCACACCTAGCACTTGACAGGCAGGGAGATCTCTGTGAGTTTAGGACCAGCCTGGTCTTCATAGCGAGTTCTAATCCAGGCACTAAACTTCCATCTCAAAAAAAAAAAAAAAAAAAAAAAATCTGATAGTTCTCTTAAGATTTTTTTTTAAATAAAAGTAATAAACTTGGCTCTGGAATCTTTTAAAATTGGAGGCCAAGGGACCTGGAGAAATGGCTTAATGGTTAACACACTGACTGTTACTCCAAAGGACCTGGCTTCAGTGCCCAGCACCCACATGGTAGTTCATAACTGTCTGTAACTCCAAGATCTGATACCCCCACATAGATATACATGCAGGCAAAACACCAATGAAAATAAAATAAAAACAAATAAATTGCAAAAAAATACTGGAGGCCAAAAGTACTTATTCTAAATTTTCTTAAATATCAGAGATTTAGCAGGACGTGGTGGCACAGACATGTAATTCCAGCACCCCAGGAGGCAGAGGCAGGCGAATCACTGAGTTTGAGTCCAGCCTGGTCCAAATCAAGTCAGCCAAGGCTATATAGAGAAACCCTGTCTTGAAACCCTATTCCCTTAAAAAATCTTAGAGATTTACAGACCAGAACTGTATTTGTTCCCTATAACATTTATACCCATAAAGAATTGTTTTCTAGGGTCTGGAGAGATGGGTCAGTGGTTAAGAGCACTTGTTGCTCTTACAGAGGATCCAAGTTTAGTTCCAGTACTCATGTCAGGCAACTGACAACTGCCTGTTACTCCAAGGGTATTCAACAGTCTCTTTTGATATATACCCATACCTAAAACAGAGTCTTTAAAAAACAGAATTATTTTATAAATAACACATCGCAAGAAGGGTGGCTCATCACTGCTTACTTTGCTTATTTATTTGCTCTAGAGCAGTGGTCCTCCACCTTCCTAATGTTGTGACCCTTTAATATAGTTCCTCATGATGTGGGGACCCGCAACCATAAAAATATTTTGTTGCTACTTCATAACTGTAATTTTGCTACTGTTATGAATCATAACATAAACATCTGAGTACTCTGATAGTCTTAGGTGATCTATCTGAAAGGTCTTAGGTGATCCCTACAAAAAGGTCTTTCAAACTCCAAAGGGGTTGTGACCCACAGGTTGAGAACCTCTGCTAAGGATGCCTGGAACTTGCCAGGCAGCCCAGGCTGACCTTGACTCAGAATGGGTGAGCCTCCTGTCTCTGCTTCCCAAATGCTGGTATCGTAAGTGTAGGGTACCATGTCCACTTTGATTACTTTTTTTTTTAATCAAAGTTACATCTTTCTCTAACATTAAATGTCCTAACAGTATCTAAGACAATGCTCTCAGCGATGAGGGGTGTGTGTGTCAAAGTAAACACGGACTGTGGGTCACTAAAAATGAGGGTACATGGGCTGTTAGCTGTGGACATCTAGACAGCTCTGCATATGTATTGGAACAGAAACAGACAAGCCATCATAGGCTTCAGCCACCCGCTGACTGCTTAGCATGTATTAAGCTTCCATTTCTGGTTTCACCTACCATTCCCGCGCGAGCTTCTTATAGGCCTTTTTAATGTCAGCCTGACTGGCTGTGCGGCTGACCCCTAGGACTCTGTATGGGTCAAAATCCAACGCAGACAGACTTTGCAGGATCAGAACCAGAACTATCAAGAACTGCCAGGAAATGCTCAACTTTTTCACCTCCATCTCTCTTCCTTCCCAGAGCTGAAATGATTAAGAGGTAGTTTTAAGTTCAAGAGGCAGAAACCTGAATAGTCTTGCTTTCTCGGGTAAGGGATAAAGGTATTAAGATGAGAATTAAATAAAAGATTTCTGAAAAGGGACTGTATCAAAGTAGCTGACCCTATCTATAACAAAAAGCCACTGTTTTTTAATATCACACATAAAAACTATTATCGATTAAAAAAAGACAAGTCATGATAGGTTAGAAGAGCCCTTTTAAAAATCACTGGAAATGAATGAACTGAAATAAGGACTGACTCTAAGAATATATTTGGGATAACCAGGATATCAAATCTCAAATGCACAATTTCATCTATTGTAACAACAAACTAAAAAATAATTGGGTTCAGAGTAGCTCACTGAGAATGTATTAAATAAACTCATGAATTCATCATGATTTATCATGTATCAAATTGTAGTCTGGGTTCACTGTAGCATTTCTGGGCACTAAATAAACATGAAAGTAAAACACTTTAAAAAATAGCTGTGCAGTAAAATTCAGCAAGCCTGCTATTATTTTTTTTCATCACCTTCATTCAAAAACAAAAATGGGAAGCTGCTCTTCAATCCAGTTAGCAATCTGGTTATTGACCACAGAAACTTCAGATATGAAAAAGTGGGTAAGGAAAAAACTTACTTTTCTATCTAAAGAGAACAAGAAAGTCTTGAAGAAGTAGGCATAGCTCTAAAATGTTTTTTAATTACAACTCGACTGAACGGTTGAACTCAAGTGTGGGTTTTGGAATAATCCTGGCTGACTGAAGAGGAGCGCCTGCTGCAGACACACACATGATCTTTTATACCACACAGTTTTCACGGATCACCTTTATCTTGACCTCACAGTGTTAAGGTTCGGTGAGGGTGGATTTTGACAGGTGCAAGACACAAACACTGTTTGGGAGCCTGTAAGCAGATGCCCACTGTTTAGAACTGCTCACATGCTAAGTTAAAAACGACAAGCAGGCCAGTTGCTCCCTTAAGACAACCTGTTCTGCAGTGCTGGCTAAGCTCACCCGGCTTTGGGATCAGAGTGGGCGTGGGGGGCGTCTGTCCACCACCACTCTAGGACCTAAACTAGCCTTCTTTTTTTGATGTGACTGAACACTGGCACCTAGCAGGAACTTCATGGGCGGGGGTGGGGGAGAGTAAATGGGTAAGGGGTTCCCTAAGCAGAATCCACAAGCAGGGTGGGTGAAGTGTCAGCCCCGCAGAGTGTGGGTGAGGTGGGGTTGTTCTTTGGCTGACATTCTCCAGCTCTAGGGGGCCGGCCTCAGGGCAGGGGGCGCGCTGGCCAACAGGTAGCCCCCGGCGTCCCCAAGAGCAGGAGGCGGCGGCTCCCCGGACTCTCCGCAGGACCAAGCCCCGCCTCGGGCGCCCGCCCGGGTCGTGACCTTCCGGGAGGCGGCCCCCTCCCCCGCCGCCCCGGTTCCTGTCGGCTCCCGGGTCCCCCGGGCCCAGCGCGGGCTGAGGACGCGGAGGGGCTGGCGGGAGATCCTTCAGCCTGCCGGGCCCCGCCGCGTCCGCGCGTCACGCCGGGAAGGAGTTACCGGGAAAGGGCACCGGCCCAACCGGCCGCAGCGTCCGTGCTCCAGTGAATCCGCCGGGGCCGGCGCTTCCAGTCCACACCGGAGCACCTGGGGAGGGGAAAGAGGCGGGGCCCAGTCCCGGGGCAGTCACGTGTCACTTAAAGACAACGCGCCTCGAACGCGCGCGCACCGACCGGGTTTGGGCGGCGCACTCCGCGGACCTGTTTTGGCCCTGCCGTCCACCGTAGGCGCGTGGGTCTCGCGCGGTTGCTATGGGGACGGAGCGCGCTCTTCGGCTAGGTCCGAGAGCTAGATCTTGACCAGCGAGGCCTGAACGTGCCTTCTAGCGAGGCGGAGTCGCTATGCATTAAGGGATACCAGGAAGACCTCCGGGCACCGGGGAGCGGTTTCCACTGGTTGTCAGAAGATGGCCCACGTCTAGCAACAGTTGCTAAGAAGGGGACGCAGTCGCTGGTCCCAGTTCATTTTATCCCTATTCATAGAATCCTAGAACGTCAGAGTTTGAGCCGGCCTCAGGGATTCTATCCATACACTAAGGCTCAGAGAGGGCCAAAGGCTCACCCAAAGCTTAGAATCCGAGACTCCAAATTCTGTTTACCAACCCAAAAATGTTCTAGTCTGTGATTTAGGCGAGAATCACAGAAAGGGGGTGTGGTGAATAAGGTTGACTTTTTTTTTTTTCGCCAGTGACCAAGGTCTCTTGGGGATGTATTTTTTATTCCATGCCTCGTGTTGAGTTCTTATGTAATCGTTTGCTTTTTATCACTTATCTAGCATACTGTTTCTTTTGTTATTTGTTTTTGAGACAGGGTCTCACTGTGTACCCTTGGCTGGCCTGGAACTCTCTAGGTGGATCAGGCTGGCCTCAAACGCGCAGAGATCTTTCTGCTCCAGCCTTCCGAGTGCTGTTTTTTTTTTTTTTTTTTTTTTTTTTAAAAGAATGCACTATGCCCGGCTGTGTGTTTTATGTATTTATTCCATATTGTCTGTCGCCCAGCTCTTTAGGAATGTAAGCTCCCATAGGTAGGGTCTCTTACCTGTCTTGTTCAGCATTGTGTCACTGCCTGCACAGACCTTGGTTTGTACAAGCTCCTGGTGAATATTTGAATATTTGCAAAATAAATGAAAAAAAAAAAAAAAAAAGACGCTAAAGCCTGTTTCACCCCGCTCGTGTGCGGAATTAAAGTGAGAACCTCATGCATGCTAAGCAGTGCTCTTCCACTGAGTTCTACTTGCTTTGTGTGCCTGGTTGGTTGCTTTGGATCGAGCGCCTGCCCTAGCGCCAACAACACCAATACGGACTGATTCATGCTAGTTTTTCCCAAGCTGAAACTGGGTTATTTAACTGTCTGAGAAATCAGGTGAGAGTGATAACTGCCAAATACCCAAACTGGTCAGTTTTAGCCAACACGGTTAAATCTCCTTTGCTTTGAGTCAACCAATCCCCTTTGAGATTCTTGTTTCTGCTCTCCCCAGATTTCCTGTCTGTAAGTTCACCTCAGGTGCTCATCCGAATTTGATTGATGCTAAAATCGGGAATCAAGTGTAATATGGTCTTTTGAGATATTCCAAAGTGGATTTTTGGCTGCGTCTATTCCGGCTCGGGTTTGAATCTTAGAATGCCTCTGTTGGGGTCAAGCTGTGCGATCCTTGAGGCGTGCCCACATCTGTCAAACAAAGAATAACTATATCCCTGTCAGGAATGTGGCAGGGATAAATAAACATGGCGTGAAAATGAGTGGTACAAAACTGAGAGAACAGAGGACTAGATTCCTGGCAGTTTCTCGGTAGGAGGTGCCGGGGCTGGGGAGGGATGGAGAGGAGAGCGAGATGGAAGTCTGGTTCTATTAGCCCCAGCGGATGGGGTTTTATTAGAAGGGCACACAGCCAGCGAGAAACTTGAATGACACGGTTTTCTTTCCCTCTCCCTCTTGCGACCCGTTAAGTGTCTGTAGAAGTAGGATCATTGTGAATTTTGGTAGAGCAATCGCCCCGCGAGGGGAAAAGGCACAGCCAAGCGCTAGGACGAGCCACGAACAGAGCTCGAGGCAGCAAAGCAACCCTGAAAGAGCCACAGGGACGCGGGGGCGGGACGGAAAGTCACGTGGGCGGCCTAAGGGGGCGTGGCGACGTTACGTTGACGCGCGTTAAAGGCGGGGCGAGGGAGCGGGAGCGAGACCTGAGGGCTCGGCGAGGGGCGTGACGGGATCGTAGGGAGAGGAGTGGGGGTGGGGCCTGGAGGCGGGGGAGAGGGAAACGAGCAGAGGAGCGGCGGGGGCGGGCGGGCCTCGGGGCGGAGGAGCTCGGAAGGGCCTGGGCGGGGCCTGAGGGCAGGGGCGGAGTGTGTGGGTTGGTAGTGAGGTTGGGGGATGGCGTGGGAGCTGTGGGGTGGCTGGGGAGGTGGGGCCGAGGGGCGCGAGGTCCTGGGGGCGGGGCGGAGCCGAGTGGACCGGGTGGCTGCTGACCGGAGCGGTCACTCTTGAGAAGGCGATGTGGGGGCGGGGCGTGGGTGCCGGGGCGGGACCCGAGGGCCGGAAGCGGACGGAACCCGGGGTCCCGCAATCGGTCAGCCATGGACGAGGCTGATCGGGAGCTCCTGCGGCGAGGCCGGCTACGCCTGGTGGGCGAGCTGCAAGTCGCCGAGCTCTGGGACGCTCTGCTGAGTCGAGAGCTCTTCACGCGAGACATGATCGAGGATATTCAGGTGCGCATGCCCCGCTTGTGTCCCCCGCTTTTCACGCGACGTAGGTGGGGACTGGGAGACTGCAAAGAGGTTTGCTGAAGCCACCACCGAGCTCCCGCCCTCCTCTCCCACCTTGCACCGTGTGCGACCCACGCTCTGGGAAACCATAGTGTGGTAGTTCCATTTTCAAAACCTTCCAGAATCCAGCCCCTTAGTTCTCCAGAAGAATAAACAAGATCCCTAAGCATCTCTTTTGCGGAGTGTTTGCTAGAGCAACTCTGTAACTCCCACTCTGTTAGTACTTGTGTTTCTCTTGAGAAAGGAGGCGAGTATTTTTCTTTCTCTAGTGTAAGGGTCCTAGGCACCTTGGGGTGGCTCATTGTACCAGTCACTTACCCTCTTTGAGCCTCAGTTTCCTGGGCTGTGAAATGGAGCAGTGGTCATCCTGTTCTAGGATTTCATTCTAGTGAAATAACGGGTGTGAAGCATTTCTGTGCTGGGCACAACTCCGGGACCCAGCATGCCCTGTCTTTTTTGGTCAGGCCTTCATATATCAAGTGCATGCTTTATAAAGGAGTTTGGAAAAGAAGGGATTTAAGATAGTAACAGAAGAATAAAGTGAAACATTTGATTAAAAAAATAACATCTTAGTATTCTTGTCCCAGTTATCCTCTCACCACAGGTCTGAGAAGGGAATATTTCTTCCTGAGAGGCCCTGGGGGACTGTCTAGAAGGTTGTCTCCAGCATCTGTATTATCATCCAGGAAGCTGGGGAGCTCCAGTGAAGGAGAAATAGAAGAAAGTGGTCTAGAGTCATGCGATTACCAATTAATAACAAAAGCGATCTCAAGAACACCTCAGAAAGTGTGGGAAGGGGTTTGAAGGGAACAGTCCTAATCTTCAAGGGCCCGTTAAGAGGACTCATAAGCTAAACTGCCCAAGGAGGCAGCAGCCTCTGTCTTGTTCCCTTCTCCAGCTAAGTGTGGTTAGAGCACCGCTCTGGCCTAGTGTTGGTAGTGGCAGACTGTTCGAAAGGAGAGGCTGGTTCTGGGGGTGGTAGCACACCCCTGGACTCCCAGCACTCAGGAGGTCGAGGCAGGCGGATCAGGTATTTGAGACCATCCTTGGCTACTTACAGAGTTTGAGACCAGCCTGGTTACATGAGAGCCAGTCTTCAGAAACCAAAACCAAGGGCTAGAGAGCTGCCTCCGTATTTAAGTGTGTTGGCTGCTATCCTTGCAGAGGACCTGATTTCAGTTCCAGCACCCACATGGTGGCCTCCAACTGTCTGCAACTCCAGTGTCAGGGGATCTGATACCCTCTTCTGGCCTCCTTAGGCAACTGGCACATAGTGGGCACATACACACACATACAGATACTCACAGATACAAATAAATACATTTAAATAAATATTTAAGGAGCTGGAGAGATGACTTAGAGGTTAAGAGCACTGATTGCTCTTCCAGAGGTCCAGAGTTCAATTCCCAGCAACCACATGGTGGCTCATGACCATCTATAGTGGGATCTGATGCCCTCTCTGTCATACATGCAAATAGAATATCCATATGAATAAAATAAAATATTTAAAAGCAAAACCAAAGCAAGAGATCAGATATATAACTATTTGGGAGAGTGCCTGTCTAGAATGCATGAAGCCCTGAGTCCAATCCCGAGTTGTACATCAAGCCTGCTGACCCAACATGCAGGAGAATAAGAAGTTCAAAGGGTATTCTCAGCTGAAGGCCAGTCTTGGCAACTTTTTCTTCTCCCCAAACAAATATGAAAGCTTTTTCCCCCATACAAAACAAAAACAACTTATTTCCCCCAAAAAAAGGAGAGGCTGGAAAATTGATTTCTGTATTCAATATCATTACTTTTTAAATTTTATTTTTTTCAATATCGTTACTTTCAAGGTTAGTAAATTTAGACAATTTTAAGCACCTTGTGTAAACTACTGGCCACCATTTTGCTACTTTTAGTAGGGCTAATTAGCACTTAGCACAGTGCTGAACACATAGTAGATCTCTTTGACGTACTGCATAGATGGACCAGCAAAGGCTGCAGAGGGATATGCGTTCAGTGCACGGCTTGATTCATTCCTGCCCACCTGTTTATGTTAGATGAAAAGTGGGAGATAGGGGAGAGCCACATTAATGTCTGGATAATGAGTGTCTGGTTTTTCTATCCACACAGCGAGCAGGCTGTGGGTCTCGGCGGGATCAGGCCAGGCAGCTGGTCACAGATCTTGAGACCCGAGGGAGGCAGGCCCTTCCCCTCTTCATCTCCTGCTTGGAGGACACAGGCCAAGACGTCCTGGCTTCATTCTTACGCACCAGTCGGCAAGCAGCCAAGCAGGATCCAGAGCCTGTTAAACCCCTACCTCACCTGGAGCCTGTGGTCCTGGGACCAATGGGATTCAAACCAGAGGAACAGAGAGTAGGGAAGCTGGAACCATCGCAGCCTGCCCCAGGACACCTCACGCCAGTGGTGCTGGGGCCCAAAGAGCTCTGGCCTGCTCGGCTCAGGCCAGAGGTTCTCAGACCAGAAACACCTAGGCCAGTGAACGTTGGCTCTGGCGGAGCTCATGATGCCTGTGAGTACTGAGAGAATGGTCTGTGGGTAGTGCAATGAGGCTGTTGGAGTGTGAGTCTGGGTACAGCTTGGATTGAGATTCAGAATTTAATTCTAGTATTTGTCTTCATGAATGCTCATAGGAGAAGAGTAGACTATTCCAGTCAGTCTATAGGAGATGGAATTTTGACAGCAAGAGTCTGTTTTGGATGCTCCCCTTGCTTCTCTGAGTGTTTCCAGAAGCAATTGTTACCCAGGGTTTTCCTTTGGGTTCTGGTGGGTGACTGAAGTTACTCACGCTTGACAGGAGGTGTGGGGAAGCTGTCAGGACTCTGCCCTGCACACGCATATGCTTCATGACTCATACTCCTACCTCCCTGCAACTCTGCAAAGCAGATACTGTTAGATTCAGCCCTGTCAGCAAGGAAACAGCCCCAGGAAGGTGAAACAATCCACCTAAGATGTCAGGGCAGCAGTCTATACTGAAATGCTCCCCTCCCAGCTGTGTGGGTGTGTACACAACTTGCCACCGTCCACACCGCCACAGAACATTCTAGTAGCCTAGGAGACCTAGTCTTTATTCAGTCAGTATACCGCTCTTGCAATTGAGGTAGTTGCTGTTCTGGTTTCACTGACAGGTGTCACTTTTGCTGGTCTTTGTACAGCAGTGAAGATAAAAAAAAGAACCTACCTTATTCTGACATTTTTCACCTGTCATGTCTGTATTTCATTCGTGATGCCTTGCAGACTACAGGTCTCTTGTCCATTGCTAGGTGGGTAGTAGTCCCTATTCTAAAGAACCTGAAGTTATTTAAATTCTTATTCTCCTCAATCCCCCTCTCTTGTGTGTGTGTGTGTGTGTACACGTGTGCCTGGAGTATTTTACATGTACTACATGAGTTCAGTAACCCACAGAAGTCAGAAGACAATGACAGGTCCCCTGGTTTAGGGTGGTTGTGAACCACCATATGGACCCTGGGAACTGCATCCAAGACCTCTGTAAGAGCAGTAATGTCTCCCAACCACTGAGCCTTCTCTCCTGCCCCCTCCCCGCTTTGATTAGAGATGGTGTCTCACCTTGACCTGAAACTCATTAAGAAGAGTTTAGGCTAGTCTGCTCCAGGGATCTATCTGCCTGCCTGTCTTGCCTTTGCAGTACGCAGTACTGGAGTTATGTGCCACCATGCCTGTTCTCATTCTCTCTCTCTCTCTCTCTCTCTCTCTCTCTCTCTCTGTGTGTGTGTGTGTGTGTGTATGTGTGTTTATGGGCTCTGGAGATGGAACTCAGGTCCTCACCTTGTTTGATTAGCACTTAAAACACTTACGTTTATAAACACATGGATTATCCTTTGAGATTTTACTTTTGTCCTAATGGTAAAATTATGTGTACTTATGTATGGGTATATTTATATGAATGCAGTGCCATCAGAATCCAAAAGAGGGCATCAGGTAGTGACTTTGCTGGGAACCGAACCTGGATCCTCTGTAAGAACAGCTCTTATCTGCTGAACTATCTTTACCCTTCAGCCCTACTTCCCTTACTCCATTCTGCTGTGGAGTTTCATGTGAATGGAATCATGTCTGTATTTCAGTGGCTGTCTTGTTTGCTCTTAACATAGCCTTTTGCTGTCTGGGTTACCCAGGGCATTGTGTGTATGTTAGCTAGCTCTTGAGGATATCCCCCTGAATGGTTGGATCTCAGTGTGAGGCTTTTGAACAAGACCTTGGTGAGTGTTCCTGGCCAACACTTTTCAAAGGTATAGGTGTGTGTTTAATGTTGTTGGCAACTTTGAGATGCTTCTCTGTGGTGGCTTTGTCACTTGGCTCTCCTATTCCAAAGTCCCTGCTTCTCTCTGTTGTGGGAGCTGTCTTCACAGCTCCTTGGCCTTTCTCTGCTGAACCCCAACACCTATGTTTCTTTTTTCCTCTGTTTACCCAGGTGCTCCAGAGACCATCAGGGAACGTGCAGATATGGTGAGTCCTCGTGTGATTAGGGTTTGTCTTTCCCCCAGGTTCTTCCCTGGGGCTGAGCTAGGAGCCTGAAGGAGCTCTGCCTGGCTGGGGTTACAGTCACTACTCTCCGTGGTTCCTGACCCCAGAGGGAACACTCTGTCCATCCCGCCCATCTGCCTCTATGAAATGAGAGCTGGAGCCTGAAGAAGGCCTGCAGCCCCTGGGGTGTCCACTCCAGGGCAAGTCACTCAGGTTGTCCTTCCCATGTTTATACTCTGGCTCCCATGTGCTTCTAGGAACAAAACCACGTACCCTGCAGAGCCCTCTGCTGGGGAGGAAAAAGTCAGGCGGAGAAGGCTTCAAGTAGACTCACCAGACCCATGCACTGAAACAGGCCATGGAAAAGGAAGCTGAGGGGCCTGAGCCTGGGCAAAAGCTGCCCCAGGAGATCAGAGGGTGGGTCCTGGCCTGAGACAGCTGTGATAGCTTACCGTAGGACCCTCAGTGAGTCCCCTGGGCCAGTGCCACCGAGTTGCATGGAGTTATAAAATCCCTTTGGGTGAACGTGTCTGGGCTGGCTGGCTGGGTTGGTTTGTTTGTTTGTTTGGTATTTTAAAGGAATTATTAGTGTATGTATATGGGTGTCCTGACTTCATGCATGTCTGTGCACCCTGTGTGTGCAGTGCCTGCAGAGGCCAGAAGAGGGCGTTTCATCTCCTGGAGCTGGAGTTACAGACAGCTGTGAGCCACCGTGAGGCACTGGGAATTTGAACCCGAGTCATCTGCCAGAGCAGCCAGCACGCTTAATTGCTGCACCATCACTCCAGCCCCCTATTTTTGTATTTTTGAAATTAGGGTTCATTATTTAGCCTAAGATGTCCTATAACTCAATATAAAGCCCCTAATCATTTTGAACTTGTGGTAATCTTCCTCGACTTTCCTGGTGGTGGATTACATATGTTTTATTTTATTTGTTGTTGTTGTTGTTTAGGGTTTTGTTTTGTTCCTTTGAGACAAGGTCTCTCTGTATAGACCAGGCTTGAACACAGAGATCTACCTGCCTTTGTCTTTCGGGTGCTGGAACTAAAGGTGTGTGCTACTGTGCCTGGCTAGGATTGTGTATGGGAGTCGCCCATCTGGGTTATGATTTTCCATCCCTGAATACTGAGATGGCATTCAGTTCTCTCTATGCCGCACACCCTTGGCATTTGTCTGGCTGCTATGTGGATTTTCTCACTGGAATGTTGGCTGGAGACCCCACTGCCCTGGAGACCCCAGTAGAAAGGAAGACCCTGAGTCCTATGCTGGCTCTCCAGACTTGAGCGCATAAGTGATATCCAGGAGTCCCGGCCTCTCCTGAGGGGTGCACTGAGCCCCCCTGATGACATTGGGAACCTGTCATTGCACAGGCATATGTTCTGGATTCGGACCCCTGTGGCCATTGCCTCATCATCAACAATGTGAATTTCTGCCCTTCCTCGGGGCTCAGCACACGCACTGGCTCCCACCTGGACTGTGAGAAGCTTCAGCACCGCTTCCGCCAGCTGCATTTCATGGTGGAGGTGATGAATGACCTGACTGCCAAGGTACGATTGCTGTCCCATGGGACTCTTCCCCAGACAAGCCTCTATGTCCATAGGACTGTAGAGGTGACATGGGCAGCTGGTTATAGGCTCAAGCATCAAACTTAGAGAAAGAGGCTATGAGGACTGGCTTTCCCAGTGCCTACCACTTGACCTTTATGGCTTGTTTCACTGTTAAGAATCAAGAATAATTGTTCTCATAGAGTTATTGTGGGGATTAAAATGGCCAGTGACCAAGCATATCACCTTTTCCTCCTGGTGGTGCCCGTATGTTGACCATGTCCATCTCAGCTTTAGCACTGGGAGCAGAGTGCCGTGTCACAGCTTTTGGCTCATCGTGCACGTCAGCTCTCCATTGGTGCCCCTGCCTTCTCTTGTAGAAGATGATCGCAGCTCTGGTGGAGATGGCGCACCAGGACCACCATGCCCTGGACTGCTTTGTGGTGGTCATCCTCTCTCATGGCTGCCAGGTAGGAGGTCTTTCTCCTCCTGATCCTTGACAGGTTCCACAGTAGCGCCCCGTCCCTTCTGTGACCATGGCACCCTTAGCTTTGGAGAGAAAGTGGTGTGGCCTGTCTCCCTCCTGCTGTGTGTGTCTTCAGGGCCCTGTGGTCCTCCAAGGAGTAGCATTTGTAGGTGGGAGGAGGCTGGGGAAGCCCTATCCTGGTGGGGGAAGGAAGAAGACACACCTGTCCAGGAAGTTCTCTTCCCTGGTTGAGAAACCAAACACAGGGATCCTAGTTCCCCACTTGTGCTGTGGCCCATGGGCTATGTCCCAGGCCCTATACTGCTGTGTGGGACACAGGATATTGGGATCTATCTTGTGCTTGGCCACTGATCTACTAACTCATTGTGGCTAAGCCCCTAACCCTGTCCAGGTCTCAGATCCTTCATCTTTTAAGTTGAGGGGTTGGGGGCCAGTGAGCTGGCTCAACAGGTAAAGGTGCTTGCTGCCAAGCCTGGCACCTGGAACCCACATGGTGTAGGGAGAGAGCCAACTCCTACAAGTTGTCTGACTGCCACATGCAGTCATATGTGGGCACCCATATGCACGTGCACAGAAGAACAAGATAAGTGCTTTCTTGTGTTTAGCTGCTTCCGGGGGACTGGAGGACCAGAAGGCTGACTTTGGAGGTCTAGGTGAGGCCTGGGAATCAGTATTTGTATAAGCCTGTGGGTGATGCTGACAGTGGTGGTTTGGGAACACCTGATTTAGACACAGCTGGCCTGCATTCTCCGGCTCCTTGGCTCCCATAGTCTAGGCCCTTGAAATAGATGCCGGCCAGCCTGCCCCATCTCAGTCAATCCAGTGCCTGTGCCTAAGGCTTCTGAATATGGACCTCCCCACACAAAGCCCTGCCCCTTCTGGACCGATCCCTGGATTTCTATCCCAAGTCTTTAATAATCAAGGTATTTTTGTAACAGAGGTTCCTTGTCCTTTAGGCCAGCCACCTCCAGTTCCCGGGTGCTGTCTATGGCACAGATGGATACCCTGTGTCCATTGAGAAAATTGTGAATATCTTCAATGGGACCAGCTGCCCCAGCCTGGGCGGAAAGCCAAAGTTGTTCTTCATCCAGGCGTGCGGTGGCGGTAAGTGGCACTCAAGCCTCCTGCAAGCAAGGCTGCTAGAGAAGGAGCCACTCCCTGCCTGCTCCTACCCCCTGCTGCATCCATGGTCTTCTTCACACATCACTGGTGTATAGCAGGACTTCCACCTCACACCACAGGCCTAGCAGCAGAGGAGTTTGGTGCAGTGACATCACTAGCTCATGTGAGCTCGATGACTTCAGCTCCAGAGTTAGGGGTGGGGGCGGGGGAGTGGGCATAGGGCAGATAGCTCCATCTGTAAAGTGCTTGCCATGAAAGCATGGAGCTCTCAAGTCTGTGCCAGGCACAGTGGTGCCTGCCTGTAATCTGAGTGCTGGGGAGGTGGAGACAGGAGGATCTCTTGAGCTTGCTAGCCAGCCAGGCCAGTGCCACACTGGTTCAGCTGGTTCAGCAAGATGCTTTGTGTCTAAAAACCAGATGAGACCTTCCTGAGAAAAACACCTGATACTGACCTACTGACCTCTGGTCCCCACATTCATGTGCACACATGCTTACATTCATACACACACACACACACACACACACACACACACACACACACACAGCAAAGGAAAGATTAAAAAAAAAAACCTTTAGCAGGGCTGGAGAGATGGCTCAGAGGTTAAGAACACAGGCTGCTCTTCTAGAGGTCTTGAGTTCAATTCCCAGCAACCACAGGGTGGCTCACAACCATCTGTGATGAGCTCTGGTGCCCGATTTTGGCCTTGGTACCACTCCCCTGACCTCAGCCATCTAGTTAAGACCCCATTTCTACTGTCCCAGGGAAGGTGCACTGAGCCTCAAGGAGAAACTAAAGAATTTAACTTCTGGAACTCCCAGGAGTCCAGAGATGTGGGGGACTTGGAAGTTTTGCTTTATGCTTGGTGTCTTACTCTGTTTTCTGTTCCTGTAACTGAACACTGCAGGCTGGGCAATACATAAGGGAAGGAGGTTTATTTCCACATGATGCTGGAAGGTGCTTGCTCTTCTTGTTGCATTTGAATGTGGTGGACAGGTTCACGTGACGAGACCGTGCCTATGCTAGCTGCTCTCCCTGCCACCACCTCCCCTCTCTCCAGGCAGTATGGACATAGGCTGCCCTTGAATTTGAACTTCTGTACTCACGAGATCACCAGAAGCAGCTGTACCTGAGTAGCACTCTTAGTTTAAACTTCTAACTTGTAGGGTGTAGTGGTACACACCTTTAATTTCAGCACTTAGAGTTCAAGGCCAGCCTGGTCTACAAAGTAAGTTCCAGGACAGCAGGAGCTATACAGTGAAATCCTATCTCAAAAAATAAACAAATAAAATAAACCTCTGGCTTTACCATTACCTGTTTTTTTTTTTTTGTTTGTTTGTTTGTTTGTTTGTTTGTTTTTGTTTTTCAAGCCTGGAGCTTGCTGTTCTTACAAAGTGCAAACAAAGAAATCTGTGCGGCCAGAGATGGTTCAGTGGTTAAGCACTGTTGTTACTCTCAAACAGAGAGGAACAGACTTTGTTTTCCAGCACCCACAGCTGCGTCTTTAGCCTAGGACATCCAGTGCACTTTTCTGACCTCCACATACATGCTTACATATTCACATATACATAGCCACATAAATAAAAACTTTTTATTTTTTTCACCCTCAAGCGCTGAGATTAAAGAATAAAATTTCTCTGTCTGTCTGTCTTGGTTTCTCTGTGTAGCCTTGGCTGTCCTGGACTCGCTTTGTAGATCAGGCTGTCTTCTAACTCACAGTGATCTGCCTCCCTGAGTGCAGGGATTACAGATGTGCACCACCATGCTCAGCTTTTTTTTTTTTTTTTTTTTTTAATCTAGAATTAGTAACACTCACCTGAAATCACAACAAATCAGGAGTTCAAGGCTTTCTTCAGCTACATGGTGAGTTTGAGGCTAGTCTGGACTGCATGAGACCCATTGTATTTAAAAAAAAAAAAAAAAAAAATCCTAATCCCCTCAAAGGCTAAAACAGAAAGATTACTTGAGTCCAGGAGTTTGAAATCTGCCTGGGGAACAGGGAGCACCTGCATATACACACACACACACTCTCTCTCTCTCTCTCTCTCTCTCACACACACACACACACACACACACACACACACACACATACCTAAGAATAAAACAAATGAGTACTGTTGTTTTAGTGTGTTGGGAACCCTGACATCCTGTCTAGGGAATCCCTTCTGTTCCAGGTTCTGGGGGTCTGGCATCAGTAAGGCACTCCACTCTCTTACCCTCAGCCCGAGTTTTCAGAAGAGGGTGCTGTGAACCAGGGCGCTGTCCGGCTTGCCCTAGGGTCACAGCACACACGTTAGCCAATGACACAGGTTCTTCGTGTGGTGCATGTCATCGCTCAGCCCCATTCCGTGGTTGCAATCATCTAGGGGAGCAGGCCTTGGGCATTCAAGAAGTGGTTATTGGTGCCTGTTGTATTCACCAGGCACTAGAAATAGAGGGAGAGTGTCTGCCCCTTAGAATTTATAATTCGACAGGAACACCAAAGTCACTGCAGAATTCATGTGGCAGTGGTGCACACCTTTAATCCCAGCACTCTGGAGGCAGAGGCAGGTAGTCTCTTGAGTTCGAGGACAGCCAGGGCTGTTATGGAGAAACCCTGTCTTGGAAAACTAAACCAAACCAAACCAAACCAAAACCAAACAAAAACAAAAAAAAAAAACCCCTGAAATCCTACAGTCCCGCCACTACCTCATGGTTACCACTCACTGTCTGTTGTTAGGAGTGCTCTTTCATCATAACATTGACAAGATGGAGAGGGATCAGCTGTGCTTTCGGGCCATGGAGATGCCTCCTGTTCACCCCTTCCCTGCACTAGAGTGTTCTGAGATGATGCTCCGACTCCAACCCCTGAAAGACACAGAGGGAGCTGGGAACAGAGCTGAGTGGGTGCCAGCTCCCAGGACAGCAGCACTTTGCCCGTCTTTGCTTCTCCCAGTCCCACACATTTTCAGTAGCAGGTAGGATTTTGGTCCCACGCGCATGAATGGTGTTACTTGTCAGAGTTCTTAGCAGGAATGGCCTGGACCGTGCTACTCTACCTCCCCATGATTTCCTCAGCACACTTCAGCCTTCCCAGGGTGCCCTGAGCTCTGGCTTCCTTCTGGCTCCCTACCTATCTATCTATCTATCTATCTATCTATCTATCTATCTATCTATCTATCTATCT